GCTCGGACCCCGACCCCCCGGGAGGCCTCAGGTGCCGAGGGCCCTGATAGGGCCCGGGGGGGCGAGAGGGGGCGAAAGCGCCCTCAAGCAGGCACATGAGCCCCCTCCTGCAGGTGCCGAGGGCCCTGACACAGGGGGGGGACAGGCCAGGTGGCGGCCATCCTCAGCGGAACAAGGATGCGGACGACAGGACCAGCGTGCACAACACCCCAGCTGGGGTCAGAACAACCGCACAGCTGGTACAACGGCAACGCCGAAGCCCCGTGCCACAGGTGCCGAGGGCCCTGAGATGGCAGGGACGGGACGGTTCCCCGCAGGTGCCAAGGGCCCTGACACGGGGGGCCGCGCCCAGCAGGCCCGAGTGCCGGACAACTGGCAGCACACCGCAACGCCGAGGAACACGCCCAGGAGGCAGCCGATCCCACTTCCGGCGCCCAACATCATCAAGCAGGACCCGGTGGTTTTTCACAAGAGTTCTGTGGGGCTGAATGAAGGGGGCCAACGCCTTTCAGCCACCCCCCTGACAAGTCCCACGGAGCTGTCACCGGGAGGGGACACCTTCCGGTGGATGGAGAACATCCCGGAGCGTCTGCTACAGCGGCTGAGATGGACACAGGGCACATCGCCCAAAGTTCCATCCAGTGGGCCCATCATTGTCCTGCTCTATGCAGGCAAGGAAGACCCAACTTCCTTAGACAGCTGTCTTCATGCCAACTACCCGCACCTCTCCAGCATGGTGGTGGCAGTAGACATCCTACGATCGGGACCAAAAGGGAACCACGACATGCTCCAACCCGAGCTGTATGGAGCGCTCTGCACGGCAGCCAAGCAGGGCCGAGTGGTCTTCATTGGGGGAGGACCCAACTGCAGGACATGGTCCATCCTGCGCCACATACCAAAACCGGGGGCCCCCACCCCGGTGCGAGGACGCACTCGAGAGACACTTTGGGGCCTCCCACACCTGGACCAGGCCGCCCAGACTCAGCTTGATGAGGACAGTACCCTCATTTTGAGGCAGATGGACAGCACCAGCCTGGCAAGGGCCTCAAGATCGGCGGTTTCTCTGCCAGGGCCAAAATCCTTCTTGGAGCACCCGGAGGACCCAGTGGTGAGCAGCTCGCTGCCCAAAGCCAAGGAATGCTCATCCTTCTGGATCACGGAGGAGGGGCAGCTTTGGATGGAGGAAAACTCCCTGACAGCAATCTCCTTCGACCAGTGCCGCCTGGGCCAGTTGGTCAAGAAGGCCACCACACTTGCCACGGATCTCCCACTCGAGGACTGGGATCAAATGCGGTGCACACATCAGTCACATGTGGGCACCAGCGAGTCCTCGACTCTCAGCAGATACCCCTGGGATATGATGGCAGGCCTGGCCAAAGCCATCGCTGTGTCACTCGCGGCGCCGGGGCACATCCGGATCCCCTCACAATTCCCGGGAAACCCTAAGGAACCACCTAAGGGAAGGGGGTCGGACCCCCCTGGGGGCCCTTCTCCCCGGGGAAAACGGGGACCCAATCAAGGAGGCGGTCCCTCCTCTTCACACCAGGGCCCAGAGCCCGGAGGCAAGAGTGCCCCGAAGCCCCGCCAGCACGGGCACATCCACCATGAGGCAGACACCGTAAGCCCTCGTGGAACTATGAACCCAGACTTCCCATCTCCCATGCCCCCGATGGCCGGAGATGCGGAACAACTGGAAAAGGAAGAACATGGGGACCAGGTCCTGGACCGCCCCGAATGTCTGCCCGCTTTCCGGGTCCCACGCCTCATTGACCGAGTTGCGATTGTCCAATTGGGTTTCCGCTCACGCCCCCTGAGGGATGGGGGGGGGAAACCTTCCCCGGGGAGGCTCAACCCCCCCTTTCGAAGAATTTCCCCTTTGGCCACTTTGGGCGCCCTGATCATGACCCTTACCAGGCCCTGGATTGATAAGGTCCGGATGTCCCTGGCATCAGGTGCCACCACACACCCCTTCCAGGAAGCCGACCTCGAGGAGCTGCGGGCTATCCTAGGATCGAGGCACCTCCATGAACGATGCCCAGGACAACCCTTCCTCCTGGACTTAGTGTCGCACTTGGCATCCCTCTCAGGTGACCCTGACTGGGAGTTCCCCCTTACACTGAAAGAGGGGGTCCCCTTGGGAGTCTCGGACCCTACCTTGACCTCCCCGGGAGTTTGGCCCACTAAGGAGGAGCTTAAGGGAGAAGCCTGGCTGGGGGAAGACCCCCCCCCGCCAGTGGCTCATGATAACTACCCAACGGCTGAACTCTTTGCCGAGGAAATCGAATCAACCTTTTACGAGGAACGAGCCTTGGACATGGTGGACGGGCCCTTCACTCGCTCCGAGGCGGCGGAGAGGTGCCGTTGCAAACCGGAGGAACTTTGCCCTGGCCCCCTTGCAGGGATTGATGAGTCGGACAAGATCAGGACGATCTACGATGGCTCAAAAGGGGGAGCAAACGCACACATCCAGGCTCACACAGCGGAGAAGACCACTGCACCGATGGTCGGAGACTGCCTCCACGCCATCCACTGGCTCAGGACAGCGGCGGACCATCCCCATTTACTTTGGGCCACGTTCCCGAACACTGAGGAGAGACTTCGGGATGTCCACCAGCCGGTGCAGGGGCAGTCCCCAGGTGCCGAGGGCCCTGAGAGGGACCCCCACAGCACCAGCCTGGCCCCCAGGGCCGAGGGGCCTGATCGGGGCAGGGGGATTATGGATACCTCCGGCGGCATGGACGTCTCTCTGGGATCGACACCCTCAGGAAAGGGACCACTCCCAGGTGCCGAGGGCCCTGATGGGAGGGCCCCCTTCCCCCCACCCCCCCCGGGCACGGAATGCCCTGGGGGGAGCGGGGGGGAACCCCTGAGCTGGCAGCCGCCGACACAGGGGGAAACCTTCATCATCCTCAAGGCAGATGTCACCAAGGCCCACAGGCGTATTAAAGTGCTCCCTAAAGACTGGAAATACCAGGTGGCCTGCATCCAAAACCGGTGGTGGGTCAACAGAGTGGGCACGTACGGCATGGCCTCGGCACAGCTGTACTGGGGGAGGAAGGCATCCCTGGTGCTCAGGCTCTTGTACTACATCTTCCCCCAGGTGGACTGGCACTTAGTCTTTGTGGACGACTACTGCTGGGTCCTCAGATGCAGCCGGGCGGACTGGGACGCCACAGCCATCTTGGCTACACTGCTGGCGCTGGGAGTCCCGCTTTCCTGGAAGAAGACGGCGCTCTCCCCGATCAATACCTGGTTGGGTTTTGTGGTGGACCCAATCACGCCCTGTGTACTGCTGGCTCCAGTCAAACATGTCATAATCCTGGCCACTCTTAAACGGCTGGCCCAGGGGGACATCTTCACCAGCAAGGAGGTGGAACAAGCCTTAGGCCGTATTCAATGGGCTACTTCGGCGTGCCCATTGACGAAACCTTTCCTCCAGCCTTTTTGGAGCTGGAAGAAGGCCTGCACCACTTCGGGCAGGCCACCGAAGCTGGTTCGTGCTCTGGCCATCCTTTTGGAGAGACTCTTCAACCAGAGGTTCCCACTGGCATCCCCGTTTGCTCCCACACTCCCATGGACGGGGGCGTCTGATGCGGGAGCTGGCAGGCAGGCGGACCATGCATGGGTTGGTGGCTGGTGCTCGGACGTGCCCAACCCCGATAAGTCCCGTGTTAAGTGGTTCCAGCACAGAATCACACCGGAGGGCGAGCCGTGGGCCTTCGCTACTGGGGACCCGCAGCGGGCGATAGCGGCCTTGGAGCTCTTCGGCCTCCTCCTCTTGGTGAGGGCCGTTCTGCTTTGTGCAGCCGGCTCGGCTTCTCACACTAGGATCCTGGTGGCTAGTGATAACCAGGGAAATGTTTTCTCCCTTCTTAACGATTCCACTCGCAGGATGCCCAATGCGGCCATCCTCATGGAAATTGTGCTCACGCTGCATGACCAACAGGTCATGTTGGGGCCGTCGCATGTGAAACGCGACTTCAACACGTGGGCGGATGAGCTTACTCATCCGGACCCGCAGTTCCCGACTGAGAACCGGGTCTTCCCCTCAGTCGAGAGCGAATTGATCACACTGATCTTCGCTACTTTCCTTCCTCACCCATGATGCCGGGAGGGCATCCGGTGAGGTGGGAGGATTTCTCCCTCGCTGTGGGAGCGGCATCAATCCTACTCCCATCAGCTGCTGAGGGGAGCTGCCCAGTGGAACTGGGCAATCCTCCCATTTTGGCACTAACCCTTATGCGGCAAAAAGGAGGCACCGTTTTGCGTATAAGGCCTTAGTAGCACCTGAGTGGTGCTTCAAAGAGTCAAGGTCAGATTTATATTTCTAGGTTCTTCGGGCCAAGGGGAGAAAGCGGAGTGTTTGTTCCCGCTGTGACACCCGAATCCAGGACTTAGGTGGTGGGGATCGGAATGGCGTACTTCCACCATGCTCAACTGTCTAACGCGGGATTGCTTTGGGCCGGGTGGCTCGGAAGTTATTCAACCCCATTGATGTCGCATCACGGAACGGGGCAATCAGAATCCACAACCAGAAGTATATTTTAATCACCATACAGTTTGAACGGTGTTATGCTTGGCCATGGTCAAACGACGTCATGACCAGTCGTTTGTATTGCTTTTCCTTTGAAAGGGTCCTGTGTCTAGATGTGTCGTTGGTGCGCCAGCCAGTTTGGGTTTTCTTCCAGAAAAAGGGGGTTGGGCCCCAACTAGTCAGGCGCCTTTTCCCACACGCCCTCCAAATCGTTCCTCAAACATCAACTTGGCCGAGTTGTCTGTGAGCGTCCTTTTTGGTGAGGTGATGTGGGTGTGGGTCAAAATTACACCTCCAGGCGACCGCCTGTTTTTGTCATGGGTTCCATTTGCCAGGGTTCCATTTTGGGTACCCATTTTCGACCCACAGCCATGTTGAAAGGAGACTCCCGTTTCAAGTTTCCTTTTGGGTGGGGTGACTTGCCTGTTCGGTGGGCAAGCCCTTTGGGAATTTGGGTATCCGCGAGGTCCAAGACCGACATCGCCGGGAAGGGCACCCAGAAGAAGCTGAATGAGGAGGAGACGCCGTTTCAGGGGCGCAGTCGTTTTTTTTCGGTGTTGCCGGGTTTTCTCATTTTTTCACGGTTGCCTTTCTGGATTACAAAGGGGAAGCGACAAGGACACTCACCTCTTTTGGGGGTGCCGAATCCTGCTTTGAGACAAGCCCATATCATTCTGCCCACGCTTTGCTCTGGGAAATGGCCTGGTTGACTTGGACGCCCTGTCTGACAGTTCTGCATGCATTTTGTAGAATTGCTTCCTCTGATACCCTTCCAAGAAAACAAGTAAGGACTACTCTGAGTTAACTTTAGCATGCCAGTTTTCCCACTGACTTCGGCAGTTCCTTGACTTGGGCCTTTTCATTTCCCAGTCTTATTAATTGGCAAAAGATGGATCCTAAAGTAGAAGCAAAATGATTGTAGAGAAGATAGACAGTTGATTGACGATGTGTTTGTACCTGAGATTTAATGGTTTTATGGATGCATTGTGTATTAATTCTAAGATGTAAACGACATAACCTCAGGAACAAATAGAAAAGGAAATAGTAATTCTAAAGAAGACAAATCAAATTAAAAAAAGATGAATGAAGATAACATGAACACCAACAAACAAGAAAGAGAGGAACATGACCCAACAAATATGTTTTTTTTTTGCATCATACATATGTCTTATCTTCTTTCTCTTAATTTGGATAATCCTAGCTTTTATGGTTGATGTTAAGATTTTTAATGATTTACAATATGAAAATAAGTATGAACAGATATCCAAAACGAAGATTATTAGAAGATAAAAGGCTAGGATTATATTGTGTATTATTGATGAGGATCCCGTGGACAAGCATTGTACAGTTTAATAATTGGGTTTCTTTCATCATAAAATTGCACCAGAATGAATCCAGCCATCAGAATATCCTGGTCTAATTCTCTTCTTAACAGCTCCACCAATAAAGAAAGATATTTGGAAAAGGATTCACTTTATTATTTTTGCTTATTTGTAAGTCTTAGAATTTCATATGTTAATATTGTCCTTTCGTTATTTGGCTTGTCTCTGAGATTTATTGAAAAGCAGTTAATAATTGTAAAGAAAGCATGAAAACAAAGGAAACGAATAATAATAAAAGAAGATGACACACACAAAGATAAAGATGACATCATAATTTCCTTATCCGTTCATGCTTTTATTATTTGTTCTTTCTTCTTTTTTCATTTCCCTTTCATTTTTTCATTTTTTGGTTGAGTTGATTTCTTTTCATTCTATTTTCATAGATTTCTTTTATTTGTTACTTATATATTGTTATCTTATTATTATTTTTCGTTTATTTATTTATTTTGCTTTTTTTTTATTGTACACTTTAGAATCCTTCCTGGCATTAAACCTAATAAAAGCATCTGACCACTCCCGAACGAAGAGAGGAAGAGAGTGGACATGTTGGGTCGCTTCTTTCATGATTCCTTACCCAACAGCAACCCAATCCTTTTCCTTTCGTACACCATCAATCTTCAATCATATCCGTTAACCTCAGAAACACAGATAAAATCATGTTTCTATCATTTCATTCATCTTTTCTATCATAATTTCATGCTTTAAACAATGCCTTTATCTTTCTAGTCTTTTATTATTTGCTGTTACATTTAAAATATTGGAAATTCATATATTTTACTATTGGTTGATTTCTTACGTCATATCCGTTCCAACTAAAAATCCTTGAACAGAGATCACCTAACCAATATGAATTTCTATAAGATGAACAATATATTTTCCTTTCTACATCTCTTTCATATTGTTGACTATAGGATCTATCCCTTACACCGCTGTCTCTCGGTTTCACCCATCACCAGCTATTTACTTTCATAATCTCAGGAACGAACGGAGTGGGAAGTGACGAGTGAGATGGAGGAAGGGAAATGGCATGTGATGGAGACAAGACAAGCCATTCAGGGTCTTACAGCGTGCGACGGAAGGAGATAGCGGTCTAATGCCTATCTTTCAAGGTTTCTTAATATTGGCCGTTATCTGTCTTCTTCAAGGATTTTAGAGGTGACAGCGAACACAGAGAGCGGGAGCCAGGTCAAGGATTTTACAGATAACCGTCTATAACCAAGAATTCTTGATCCGGCTTCTCTCCTCCCTATCATTGACGGAGAGAATCCTAAAGGTAACAAATAATCCTGGAAATCGAGGGAGATGTCCTAAGTTGTCTTTATGAGAATGCTTTTCCTTTTCTTTCCTATTCCCTCGATTCAAGGATTTGGAAGTGTGTGGTGTGTCTCTGAGAATTCCTGGAATGAACGGTTACGACGGAGGGAGTGAGAGACCGTGAGTGACAGGAAGGTGTAACAGCCAAGATTCAAATTTTCAAGGTGTGACAGACTGCCCAGCCCCGGGGTCTGCAAAGATGTCTCAAGGCTCTGTGGAAGAGAGTCCGCACATCTTTTCGGCGTATCCTTCGTTGGGGTCACCCAAAAAAAGCTCACTTCCGGAGTTCCCGGACTTGAAGCTTTTTGGGAAGACCGTGTTTTTGAAAACAAGTCCAGACTTTTTCTGGACCCTCCACTCAAAAAGCGAGTCGGGGACCTCCAGCCGCGTGTTTTTTCCGGGTTCCACCAGGAGCTGGCGAGCGCGGAGAACGAGCTCAAGGCCGGCAAGGCCCAGCTGCAGGCGACCATGGACTTATTGGACGGCGCCTTGCGGACCCTGGAGGCGCCTGGCTTCTCCCCCCGACAGGTGTCCTAGGTTGGTCAGGGACCTCAGGGACACTAGCAGGGATGCAGGAGGAACCAGTTGGATACGGGAGGATTCCTCCTAAATGCACCTTGACTAAGTTTGATATGGGAATGGCGCCAAGAAAATCCCTCCATATCCCCGCTCCCTCCGTATCCCCGCTTGTTCGTTTGGTCAAGTTGGTTGGCTTAAAATATAGAGGGCCATCTGGTTTACCTGGGTAAATCATCTACCAGGGCAATCTATTTTCCAAACAGGATACCTATGTTCCCGCCCCTTTCCCACGGGAAGACGCTGGGGAAAAGCACGTCGCCCGAACCGGAAGACTCCGGTTTTTGTTCCCGGTCGACCTGTTCAGTGGGTTCAGTGGATCTCGTTTGGACTTGTTTTTGCTCAGGCCCAGAGACTTCCAGACATGGACCATTTTGCTCAAGGGCATTCCTGTTCTTCTTTCAGGTGAGTCCTGAGGGCGTTCAGTGCAGTGGATCTTCAAGTCCAGTTGGATGTCTGGTGATTGGCTAAATCTACGTAGTGTAGTAAGTATCCTTAGTTAGCCGGGTTTACGCTGTTATGCATGTTGGCCAGGGAAAAGACACATTTTTCCAGCTGATTTAGAGGATCTGGATCCTTGTCAAACCGGCGGACAGGAATCCTGTTGGGGTCCCCCCAGTTCAATTGGACCTGCAGACCACCGCTTTTTCGGCGGAGGGTCCTCTTTCGAACCAACCACCATGGGTCTAAACCCCTCGGCGGGGCGATGCAACAACTCAAATTCTCCGCAGCTTCTTGGGTGGCCGAGTGAATAAGTGGTGAGATGTGGTGAGATTCATCTATGTGATGTGTAAGTCCCCCCAAGCGGAGGTAGCCCGGGAATTAGTTTATAACCCAGATGAATTTCACCATTTACCGGTTTGGTTGAACGCCCAGTTGCCGTCCAAGACTAGATGTCCAAGTTCGGATCGGTCTGTGCATTTATCCTTCCGCTAATGCAATGTTTGCGCAGGTTTTCCTAGTGTTGTGACCCACGGTGTAGGCTAAGTCAAGGGAAGCCCAATTATTTTTTTGTGCGGTTTAGATACGATTTTGATATGATTGGCATTTATGTTTTTGATACGCTGGTTTTACGTTTTCTTTACACCTTTTTGCTTCTCACGTTTCCTTTATTGAGATGTTTGACCCTCTGGCAGGATGATTGGGTTCCTACCAGGCAATCCCTGCGTGTTGTGCTGCTGGGGCAACAGGGCTTCAACAATTTGTACCCCTGTCCACTGAGCGTGACATGCTAGCTCATGAGGAAGCAGCCATCGAGTGACCCTTTGCCCTCAGGGAAGCAATGGGAGTGCAAGTTGTTTGTCGGAACTTATCAATTACTAGTGTGGTATCTAAGCGATCTTTGTAGGTAGTAGCAAGCGTTTGGAAGCTTTTGCACTGTCGGGGGCAGTGACGGCTGTTTGAAGCTGCAGGCGCCTAGCCAAAGTTGGGGGAGGGGGCCAGAAATTTCAGGGGTTGTGGCCCAAGGGACGGGGTTCCCCCGGCCTGTTTCAGGGGGTCCTGCCGTCAGGGAATTGGAATTCGCAAAGAAATCGTAATAAAAATGGAAATCGTATTTAAATCGTATTTAAATCGTATTAAAATCGTATTTTTTTACGATTTTAATACGATTTTAATACGATTTTAATACGATTTTTTGCACCACCTGCTTTCAAGTGCGAGAACTTTACGCTTTTGGGAGAGGGGGGGCTGCGCAAGGGGGGGTTCTTCCTACATTGCTTTTCGTTGCATCTTTGACAAAGAGGCATGGATGGATCTTACAGTAGGCAGGACTGCTTTTCAGGTCACCCATTCAATTGTGTGTTTCTGCATGGAGGTTAGGCCTGACAAGCTAGCTAGCGCTGCATTGCTTTTAAGCATGCCCAATTGAGGTCAAGGCGGTTCGGGCGTAAACTGTGTACAGGGTAAGATGCGTTTCTTGCGGCTTCAAGAGGGCATCTGGTGAGCTTGCGCGTGTGTTGCGAGAATGCAAGCTGTCTTCACTTATGAACATGTTCTGGTACCAGGAAGGTCATGTTGTCAACTTCAGGGAAATGTTGGGGTAGCAAGCGCTTTCCAAAACTAGTGTTTCCAAGGTGTAAAAAAAACGCAAACAAAAACGTAAATGTTGCAGGAGTCATATTGAAATCGTAAATGCGAATCGTAAAAAAACGTAAACAACCCATAAAAAAAAAAGAATCAAGAAAACGCCAGTTAGGCTGACAGCGTAGGTCACAATCCTAGTGTACATGACGGCTGTTGGCCCGTTTCAGGTCTTTGATGTTGAGTAGTCTCGGTCTGTTTAGGGTATGGGTATGCCATTGTTGGGATTGAACCTATGAGCGACTGCCATTATTTATATATTTGTTGGACAACATACTGAATTAGGTGCAATATGATGCAGGAACACCCCCAACACGAGAACACCCGAGTACTCAAAAATGTAGCAAACAATTAACTGGCGTAGCTCATGTATCCTTGTGGGCGGGGGGATGTTTGAGGTCGCAGCTCAAAATCGTTGGGTCTTTCTTTGCCAGAAATGGGTTCGGAGGTGCGAGAGGCCAGTTGAGCGCTAAACAACTATCGATTTTCCACAAGCAAAACCAACGGGGGACAAGTCTGTTTGTGCAACCTCCGGTTTCCCAGACATATGGCCATGGGTCAAAATCCCGCACCCCCAGTGAACATCCCAATCCCCACCAAAATAGACTAAAATGGGTGGTGCACCTACCCTAAAATGGGATCCCATTGGTTTTGACCCACAGCCATATATGCTGCTGGTGATTGTTTGGACATGTGGCTGAAGGGAAGCCCAGGAATTCCTGCCCCTGCCCGCTGAGCTGTTTGCCACATTGGTGTTTGACGTACGCTACCTGATGGGTGAGTACGAATTTCATTGCTCGGGTCTTCAATCGCCAAGTGAGCGATGGAAACTGCACTTGAGGATATGAGTCTCACCGTCCAAGCTTTAGGAGTTTAAGAGGAGCCTGGAAGGTCATTTGAATGGTAAACAGAAACTTTGAAGAACAGTTCTGACCAAGAACAGTTCTGACCAATCCACTTAAAGAAAATAACATAAAAAACAACATCACGTAGGTTACACCAGGTGAATCCGGCCACTAGGCCGCTCAAATCTGTAGGACCTGAAGCCTCAGTGCGTGGACAATGCCATGAGCTACGAGGACTGGGCGGAACGGTCGGACCGCACAGGTTGGCATACGTCGAGGCCGCGGCGCTTCTGGGTAGTGTACATGTTCTCCAATGTACAGTCTAACAAGGACTTGGCATGCTCAATAAGTAGTATGATTGTTCTGTGGGAGGGGGAATCCATACCGTTTTATGGCAATGTCTTCTGAGGGGAACGCCCCCCACCGGCACGGTAAAACACACAGAGGTTACATCCCTGTTTCGGGCAACGGGCGAGGCTAGCTGGAACCCTGCTGAGGTCAAGCAACCATGGTTTGTGGCTGGTTTGTGTACATTGTATTCATCGTAGTTGGATTCCACTGCAGCTGTGAGGTCAGGCAAGATTTCCCTAAACATTCATCCTATCCAAAAACAAGACTGATGAGATGTCTATGCAAGCGTCATGTTTCAAATCTCAGGACTTGAGACCTCTGCGAGATGATTCCAATGTTGAATGATGAGTCTGGACTTTTAATCCACCCAGAAAGTAAGGATATGTTTTTTCAAGTGGCGAATACACACTGTTGTCAGGTAAACGAGGCATCAACCAGCTACTCGGAATGGTAAAGGATTACCGCTAGTAGATGGCCATTTCAAGCCACACATCAACAAAGAACACCGTGGCCGTTTATTGACAAAGTCCCCTCTTGGTTGAAAACCACCTTGGACTTTTACAACACGCAGTGGACTTCGGGTATGTACGTTGGCGGTTGATGCCAAAAGCAGACCCACCTCAAAAGGGGAACCACTCAAGGCACGAAAAGGAGAGCTTGGCGGACCCGTCAAGGGACCTCAATGATTAAGTCCTGGTCTTCCCGTTGCGAAGTCGAAACCGCCGCGCAAGAACCAATTAGCCAAAGGATCAGGTTTGGACGAACAGGAAAACCGCCCAGCGTTTTCTGAAAGCGGGCTCCAAGCTAATCAAGGTTGTCGAGCAATTGAAATCAGGAAAAGAGAAGCACAACAAACGGGGCAACCCGTCTTAGTAGTGATCGGATGCTTTACTCATGGCGAAATGCCTCAAACCGATTGACGACTTATTGATCAAACCGCATATCCCCACCGCACATGAGCCAGCTTTGTAACCAGAGGCGCCGCTGTGGCTGCCCCTGCCGTCCACCACTGAAAAGTCAATCAGAAACTGATCTTTACTTTCGAAGTAGCCCCTTGCGGTCCTCAAGGATTTCACACACACACTTACTGTATGGTTTTGTTTGGGTCGCAACCCCAGTCTCTTTTTTTAGGCCCCCAAGGAACTCAAATTCACCCCCCCACCCAACCTCCCACCCTTCCCCACCCAAAAAAGACAAGAACAAGAAAACAACAAGAAAGGAGGACCAACCACACCAAGACTCTTAATTCTGACGCAGCCACATTCAAACTTTGTTTTTGAGAACGATCGAGCTCAGGAGCGCAAGGCCAAGAGGGAAGAGGAGTTGGAGACGCTGAAGACGGCGATGTGCACCTTGGACAAGGAGCGGCGTTTTGAGACATTGGGAGAGGCAGACCTGTCCATGGTTGGTGGATATATAAATGATGCCCACTCATAGGGTTCCTGATTAAAATCCGCAGCCATTTAGGGATATATGTGTGTGTTGTTTGTCAAAGCAGAGAACCCCCGACGCCAACAGCAACAACAACAACAACCACCACCACCACCACAACAACAGCAACAGCAACAGCAACATCAACACCAACAGCAACAGCAACAGCAACAGCAACAGCAACAGCACCAACACCAACACCAGCACCAGCACCAACACCAACACCAACAACAACAACAACAACAACAACAACAACAACAACAACAACAACAACAACAACAACAACAACAACAACAACAACAACAACAACAACAACAACAACAACAACAACAACAACAACAACAACAACAACAACAACAACAACAACAACAACAACAACAACAACAACAACAACAACAACAACAACAACAACAACAACAACAACAACAACAACAACAACAACAACAACAACAACAACAACAACAACAACAACAACAACAACAACAACAACAACAAACAACAACAACAACAACAACAACAACAACAACAACAACAACAACAACAACAACAACAACAACAACAACAACAACAACAACAACAACAACAACAACAACAACAACAACAACAACAACAACAACAACAACAACAACAACAACAACAACAACAACAACAACAACAACAACAACAACAACAACAACAACAACAACAACAACAACAACAACAACAACAACAACAACAACAACAACAACAACAACAACAACAACAACAACAACAACAACAACAACAACAACAACAACAACAACAACAACAACAACAACAACAACAACAACACAACAACAGCAGCAACAACAACAACAACAACAACAACAACAACAACAACAACAACAACAACAACAACAACAACAACAACAACAACAACAACAACAACAACAACAACAACAACAACAACAACAACAACAACAACAACAACAACAACAACAACAACAACAACAACAACAACAACAACAACAACAACAACAACAACAACAACAACAACAACAACAACAACAACAATCAACAACAACAACAACAACAACAACAACAACAACAACAACAACAACAACAACAACAACAACAACAACAACAACAACAACAACAACAACAACAACATTTCTGTGGTTGCCTGAACACCAACGTGAGACGCACCCCCCCCCCCCCCAACGGAAAGCACCTAGAACCAGAACATGTTCCTTTTGCGGTTGCACCATCTGGTTGGTTTCAGTTTAATGGCTGAGGAATGCTTCAAGCCAACGGGTCCCTTTCAGGCGTGTTTGTCAACTACTTGCTTGGGGTTGATGGGGATGGTCATAGAGCTTGCACAGGGATTTATGCAAAAATGGAAAGGATTCGCACGCCAGTTGGTAAGTAGCTAGTAACCCCATATAGTCCCTCAATAAATACTACTTAGGGCACTCCTGTGTGCCTTGGACTGCGTTGGTCACAGCACCCCTTGCGTGGAGTTGGTCGAGATGGGCATGGATTCTTCAGTGGGAAATGTAGACAACAAATGCAAGGGTTCTATTGAAACCATGGCTATGCTCCGCATGAGGAAGTACTGCAACCATGGCGCATATAATGTAAGCTTCAGCCTGATCCAGAACCATGCTAAGCAGGAGTAGTTTCCCATTTAGTAGGGGATTCAAGCAATGTATTCCGGATGAATCCGAAGGCAACACTACCCGCCAACACTACCCGCAAGTTATAAGTTGCCGGGGAGTGGGGAGTGGTGCCCTGATCAATGCGGGGTGAGCTGGGTTGTTTTGATGAACTTGGGTGCAATCCAGGAGGGCAAGGAGCCCATGTGCCAGAAGTGAGCGCTGCTCTCATCGTGAGCGCATCGTGCGCGCATCAAAAAGCGCGAGCTTTGCACGGCTCCAAATTTGCACCCTAAATGGTGGTTTAGGAGGCAACAACCAGTTCCCGAAACCTGCTGTTGTAGCATTTTAAGGGACAAGCCGACTTGGTTTTGGGCGAGACCTTATAGGAAGACTGCTTTCTCGGCGATCTCAGTTTTCAGCTGTATGAGTGTGTGTGTGTGAATTATTGCGATTTGCCCCAATGAATGACAAAGAAGAGCACTTCTTCAATCCGCGCGGTTGCTCCCAACGTGCAAGGGTTGTTTCTAGCTTGCTTTGACACAGCAAGTGTGCCATTTTATTCGGAAATAGAGGCCGTCTTTGATAGCATATCCGGGAAAGGCTGGATCTTCCGCTATGACGAGGGGTGCAGTTCTAAACAAACGTGGCTCTTCAATGAGCAATAGGTCGGACTGTTGGACCTCCCAGTAAGAATCGGAAGGCCAAATCGCCGAAAGATCCAGGAATCCATTCTTCCAATGTTCTCGGAAACTAGGAATTCTACTCTACTGCATTGAGAACCCCAATGTCACCCCCCCGTTGCACAAACGTGGCCTTCCCGGCACTGGGGGCGCGAAACCGGCAGGGCTCAAGCACTCCATGCAAGATCTCGGCCAATGTAACCCCGGTCCCACCGCCTCACCGCCTCCGCTTGCGGCTTTGCGCTAGGCAGACCGGGGGAGGGGCTGTCAAGAAGGATATCCTCTTTCCACATGGACTTCACTTGCTGGTGCTCAGGGAATGATCCAGGGAGTTGGGAATGAACCTGGGGATTCTCTCAAAGGAAGCCACAGGGCATGGTTTATAGGGGCACCAGCATGTTTACCGGGGTAAAGCCGAGGCCCTGTTGAATTGGCCTGATTGTTGCGAGGAATTGCCTATTCGACCCCGGAAGCCTTTGGTCGCTGAGCCAAGAGTCTCAAGAAAAAGACCTTTAGTTTAAAGGCCACAAGCACCGGGGTACCCTGAACAACGACATACCCATTTCTCCTCATTTTTGCGGCTCGCTCGAGGATTTTTTTTTGTGGCACTAGCAGTCTCAGCTCCCTCTGTAGGTTTTTCTTGGGGATTTCTTCGAAGTGCTGGAATTTCAACCTTAGGCTGGCTGGAATGGTGGATCGCGTTTCTCTTGACACCCTCTCCCAAAAGGAAGTCCCACGAAAAGAAGATTCCAAGATAAATTCAACCCCTTTCTCCGGATGTCATCAGCTGCGCCAAACTCATTTGCCCGCAGGTCCGTGGATGAGACTCGCAGATGGGGTGCCCTCCTCAGATTGACGGGAACGCCTGCGAGCACGAAGGCTGTTTGTAGCTTCTGGCTCGTCTTGGTTTCTTGAGGTGCTTTTTCTCAGGGCAGGCGAATTCGGAAGCAGAAACACGATGGCTTAGCACCGCAACGCATTTTTCACGAGAACTTCCACAGGCACGGCAGTCTGGCTATGGCGAGCTCTGGTAAAACGAGTGGGTCGTTTATTTGGGCACCCCTTATTTCAGCTTTTGGAGTTTAGGACAACTTCGCAGATCCATCAAAGTTTTCTGATTTTGGGGTGTGGAGGGACCGTGGAACCTACGGGTCTTGAGAGGAAAGGTTCCATGTTGGGATGGGCAGTGTGTGGCGGAGGATGGGTAGCGCCCCAGCTTTGGCGGAAGCCATGAATGTCTCGGCCCAACAGATGGATATTTTTGTGAAATATGGCAATGTCTCCTGGAAAGCAGGCACACAAGCATGAGATAGGTCTTCCTAAGGATTCTGCAGTCAGGCTGGTGCATTATCATATAACTACGGGCACCCATGGAGTGCAGAATCTTGATGACCTGGCCGAAAGCCGTCAGTTCCCAGAAAATCCTTTAGTTGCCTTGCCTTCCGCAAATATGGAATGTGAATGGAGACTCCTGGATAGTAAAATTTCCTTTTGAACGGAGCCCCGTGTCAATGTGTGCACTGATCAAAAGACCCGTTTACTCCAGGACGGTTATGAGGACAGTTGTGATTTCTGACAACGCTGTAAGGCTTAGGTGAACCATGAGCATGATGTACACAAGGAGTTATCCCAAGGATGCCCTTCAGTACACTGCCCGCAAGAGGGCTGCACGTTTATCCCCGCCGAACACGGCGGATGATCCGAAAAGGAGAAACGGAGGTTGGACATGTCATGGTTGGGAGGTAGAACTGCGTGGGTGCATCGGATCGACTCAGGCTCCTGCCTAGCTGGATCGAAGAGAGCCTGCCGGACCCCGATCATGCTCCGCACCCAGAGTCGCAATGCTTTGAGTGGGACAGGGTTCCAACTAGATGTTCCTTTCGCAATCTACCCACCAACAAAGGAACTCTTCCAGAAAAACCCACAAAACGGAACCACGGCGATCCGCTCCGGAGCATATTTGGGTAAAGACCACACAGCTTTCAGCTGTTGGGAACAAGGAGATGCTTTTGACAACCTTTCGGCAGTCAGCGTTAAAGTTTACACCTTCAACTTTCCATATGTGGCTTCTTTTGTTTGGGCTTTTAACTCATCAACATTTGTCAACAAACTTTGTGGGCAAGATGAGGTTGCTTGATCCACTCCTCCTTTCCAAGAGCGATTGATTGGGGCAGGGGGGAAATGCAAGCGGGGACCACCCACTCCGCCATAAAATCAGGGGAAACAGTTTCCTGACCAACCCATTTAGGCCAAGCTGAGGAAGACCAACCCAACAAGCATGTCTTGCTGCGCCAAGGCCAACCCACCAAAACGTTTTGCAGAGTTTCCCAATCACCCCCCAAGAAAAAGAGCTTTATGCAGAGCCACCAAAGAACCAAATGTGAATTAAAATTGATTCTCACTCTCCACCCGAAACCACATGTGTTCTCCCCCCAAACCAGCCGAAATGAAACGCCCACAGCTCCCTGGGCCAAAGACGCTGGCCAAAGTAACCGGCCGGAGGTCGGGGTTGGATTCGTCTCCCTGAGGTTTTCGCCTACGACACCGTGAAGCTGGTGCGGATCTTGGACCGCCGGCTCGGGCACGGGGGCCCAGAACCCCGGAGGTGCTGGTGGGCAAGCCGGTGACCTCGCAGACTCGGTTGCTGTTGAGCTCACGGGGAAACCCGGTGATACGCCGCTAGCCCTTGATGCGGCCATCGGTGACTCAACAGGCTCAGGTGGCTTTGAGGGCGCCAAGCAGAAGTTGAAGACTCTGGCGAACATTTTCATGGGCTCACTCGCTGGCGTGGCTTTCTTGGTGGCAGGCGTTTCTGGGGTTCGGGGCCAAGCCTTTGTAAAGGGAAAATCGGAGTCCCTGAAAGTGGGTACACAGTTTTTCGTAGTTGTTCTCACAGGTGATGTTGGGGGAAAAGGCGAAACCGTGTTCAGGGTGTTTTGTTTGTTTGAGGGAGAGGGGCCGGACCCAGGGTTGTTTAAGCAGCCTTCTTTTAGTTCCCTTTTGCAGAGGTCTAGGGTCTGATGCGCTTTCCTGGAGAGTTACACTGGGCCAACTTTCGTGTAAAACTTCCAAGATTCTCAAACAAACGCCGAAACCTGGTTGACAATTGGTAGCATCTTACTGAATCTTACTTTCCTGGTTTGAACTTGAAACCAATTGCTAGTGTTTTCTGAGGTTTTCAGTCACTGACTGTCACACGGTTTAAACATGCTCTGACCATTCAGCAAGCCAGCTTATATCTTGGCCCTTGACAACAATGTTACACAACAATTCAGCTGTAGGTTTGGGGTTGAACCTTGAATAAATGGTTGTCAAACCTAGGGGTCCGTTTTGAGACCCTAGGGGAATCTGCAAGGGAGCTGCAACAAGGGGAGATTTTAGTAGTCACAGGGATAGGAACCCTATTTCGGCATCGAAGCGACCACAGACAGGGTTCTTAAATTTACTTTCTGGAAATGGGGTTCTGTGAGCCTCCAAAGATCCAAACCCAAGGGTCGAACATATTGGTTTTGTTTTCCCTTTGCCAGGCAATCATCCTATTCTTGTGCCCGTTGGAGCAACCAGGAAGGATCATCCAAAGACCCTTGGACTTTGGTGTTGCTTTCCCAGTTTCAACCAAGTCTTTGCCGTGGCGACCTTTTGTCCTGTTTGATATGGTGGTGACCTGTATCCCCATATTGCCAACTTGATGACAAATCACTTCTTCCAGTCTGGTGCAGAGCTGTCTTGGGTATATACGACTACGCCCAAAATACATGGGTGGCTCCGTGGTTGCCAACTTACCGTATGTACCCCAAAAAGGGAGAGGATATGATGTGACAGTAAGCATACAGTAAGCCTCAACCGCTGTCATTTACCCAAGGGGACGCCGTAGATTCTCAGTACATGAGCAACGGCCATCATCTTTAAAACTGTGCTAGTACAGTTCCTTTCCCTCTCAGGATTGTGCATTGGTGAACTTCTGAACAGAACGTGGATCAGCTCTACGAACTGTCCACTCAAAGTAAGATATGGTCTTTTCCGAGGGTCCCCTTTTTGCTGCTTGGAGGTTCTGAATCAATGGAAACCAAAGGACATCCAAAGCCTGTTCTCCAGTTCGAGACAAAGGGGTTTCCAAACGGCTGTTTTTTTTGCTTTTGCAGGGGCTCTTGTTTGGTGGTTTTGCAGAAAGACCGAAATGAAAAGCACAAGTTATGGTGTCCCCTCTCGGAACCAGCACGAAGTGATCGCTGTCAGGTTCATCTACTGGGGCGTCCAGGCGCTGGTCGCCTTTTATATGGCATGCGCCCCAGCTGCCCAGTGTGTGCGGAGCGGCGTTTGGGTCTTCCGGTTGCTGGTGAGGTTTTTCTTGGCTTTCATACAAGGTGCTCCTATTTGGATCCCCAAAGAGCTCTTCTCTAAGAAGCCGTTGCCCAACGACGATTTGCTGAGCAAAATGTTGCACTCTGCCGAGATAGTGATCGTCTTCATCATCAACAAGGCGTACCAAGATACGGCGCTCCTGGCATGTTTGAACTGGGTTCCGTGGTTTTGGTGGTTTCGGTGGTTTCCCTTCAAAGCACTATTTAGAGGGAAAGTTCGAGGACATCTCTTTAGTGGACCGAGTTGAAAGGTTCGAGCGTACATGCAGAGTCATGACAAGGCGATCTCGTCCCGAGTGTTTGGGGCACATGTTGCGTAGACAAGAAGCAAGCTACCTATCAACGAAAAGACTACTGCGCCAAGCCACTTGGAAGATTGCAAGACTACGTACAGGAAGATTGCGGGCAAACTGCCGCAAGATGGGAAGAGCATGGGAATACTATGGGAAGGCTAGGAAAACCTAGATTGACTTACAACAGTTGAAAGCACAGAAAACCGGCCAGGAGGAAGCTATTCCGAAAACTCCACTAACGATCACCAGCACTTTGCCACGATATGTGTTTCATCCCACATGAATTGCGTGGGTGTGCGAACATTAACGGCTTGTTAGATTTACCAGATTTCGCAAAAAGTCAGGAATATGTATGACTTATCCCCAGTTAGGATAAGCGACCGGGATGCCTTCCTCTATGCTTTAGATCATTTTGCAACGTCGTGGCTTCCAGCTGTTTTCCTCCTCTATCTCCCCTTGTTAGTTCTCTTTCACGGCTCGGTCGATGTCGAGAGGATTTTAGAATAGCATCCTGTGGTACCATTGGCTGTAGTGACGTGTTGGCATTGGCCAACCCTTGGTCCTCTGCTCCAATTTCCCTGGCGTCCAATGTCACGTCCCATGACAAAGGCAGCATAGCCTTATCCCCATTGGGAGCACTGGGCTACTTCCTCAGCCTCTGAACTCTGAATAAGTTACACTGGGCTGCATGTTGCAAGCAAGTGGTAAACAAGAAGAAAAAGACGCTGCGAAGGTCTGGGTTGCTTAAAATCCATCCTTAATCCTGATGCTGGATGGATGTGTGTCCCGATCATGATTAGGATTATTCCCCATTCTGAACCCAGCAGAGCCTTCTCCTTCTTGGTCCACTTGCAGTCACACTCCCTTCACCTTTTATGTTCAGGCCCTAAGTTCGTTAGTCGTAACTAGGCTACTTGCGCATCTTGAAGATGAAGGCAGAAAAGCCAAAGGTAGAAATTCGGCTTGGGACCAAATTTGTTTTCCTACCTTTCCGTTGGTCGGCTTTGTTTGGCTCCCTTGGCATCAACTTTCTTCGCTGCCGATCCATTGAGTCGAGCAAGGGTCACCATGGCGTCCGATCGATGGGACGGTGTTTCGCGGTGTTTTCGCAGGAGAAGTCCACAGGCTGGATGCTCACCAAAGTCGTGAAGCTGGGGCCTCTGCGCAAGAGCCTCTTGCTTGCTTTATTTGGCCAATTTAGTGAATGGCTAGCAGCCTGGGTTGCAACCTACGTGTTATAAGTCACCCAAGTGGAGTTAGCCTGGGAGCAAGTCGTGGGTTGTAATCTAGATGATTCTCACCACTCACTTGGCAACATGCGTGGCTCGCCCGGATGCTTACAAGAGCACATGGCTGTGGCTCAAAAAACCGGTACCACACCAGCACCTTGATAAATGGAACCAAAGACAAGAACACCCGCGGTTGGCCCCAGCTCTATTTATTCTCGAGCCATTAAACAGGAGGGGCAAACCGCAGGTGGTCCCTGCTTCCACTTACCAGGGCCACCCATGTTGGAATTCCGGTTTTGTTGCGCCTTACCCACAGACTGCAAATGGCGCATCGCGAGTTGGAGCGGCGGGTGTCGGTCGCGGGTTCGAGGCCTCAGATCTCGCACCTGGGGGTCTCCTGGGACGTCTTCGACCGTGTGACCAACCCGGGCTTGGGCGCCAAGCCGCCGCGCCAAGTGGAGTTGAGAGACCGGGGAAGTTCTGCAACCAAATTTTAATGCGGTGGGAAAAACAATCCGAAGACGAAAGCCACTTTGAAACTATATAGGGTTGAAACCGTTGCTTGGTTTTTCACAGGGGAATCATCATTCTGGGGCTTCTTAGGTGCAGGATTTCGTCCATCCGCAGTATCATCATAAGGTTCGGGGTGGCTAAATTCACTTCCGCCTGTGCCATCTTTCTGTTCTCGGTAGATTCTTGGCTTGGTACTTCTTTGCTTTGCAGCGTACTGCTTTTGTGGCCAGTTGCTTAGTGGCCCCCTCTGAATCCCTTGTTGTTTGATGTTGTTTGATGGTTTCATGTGGGTTCCCCAACAACGACAAGGGGTTCCTTTTCTTCGGATCCATGGGCACCTGGGTAGCAGAGTCTGCACCAAATGTGTGTTTTCTCTAACATAGCCGGCATGGTATTAGAGCCTATCGCGGAGGCAAGCAATTCATCCCCTAGGTGAGGCGCAACTGCTTTTGCTCGCTGGAGTTGGGGGGTGTTCACGCAAACAAACTCACTGTGCAGGCTTTGTGGAAAGACCATGTTAGAGGAAACACCCAAAAGCATTTTTGATTTTTGCCAATGCACTCAAGAAGTGAGAAAAACTGGTTGAATCCCTCTGCACGGTCTGCGAAAAAGGGGCGTTCAAGGTGTCGCTTGTGACTGCATTTTGTCGTCCAAGCGTCAAGCACCAAACTTGCGGGTTCTCAGCAGAGAATCAAGGATCGACCTCTATAAACCACTCAATTTTCTTGTTAGGGGATCCCAAGGGCCATTCCCAAGCCCCAAAGTCATTCCCTGAGAAGCACCAAGTAAATGTACCACAATCAGGCAGACTCACTCAGTTTTTCATCGGTGTTTTCAATTCAGCGGATCCCTGGTTAAACCAGGGTCGCCGGGCAACTCGCATCATGAGGTTGTTTTTGCACCTCCTGGGTTGCGTTGATTTGTCCTTAAGGTTGCGTTGGAGACGAGAAGGGGGGACGCGCCACTACTCTCCTGCAGATGACACCCATTTGTGGAGGGAGCTCCTCTTGGAAGAAGATGGTCCATCAAAACCAGTGGGGCTAAAAACTAAGTCCAATTTCCCCTGTGTCTTTTGCGGGAATCACATGTAATCCGCTCGCGTGATAAACCGAGGCGAGTCGGGCGCCGTCTTCATCCCTACCCGCGTGCTCATCACCAGAGGGCAGACGCAGGTCAGAGTGTCTAAACGCCCGGTTTTGGGCTGCTTTTGGCCCCACACTCACCATTTTGTCACTGCCAAAATGAACGGCATTCGAGTTTGACACCTCGGACTTCATGAGAGTAGTTTGGTAGGGAATATTTCGGAGGGGTAGATGGATGACATCGTGCCCAGACAAATTGCTCGGCCCCCATTTTGGGATAGTGTTTAAGGTACGAGGTGCGACTCAATTGGTAGGCAGCTGATGGTGTCTTCTTTCTGGTCGCCAAGTGCGACTTGTTTGGAGGGCATTGTAAGGATCATTGCAGTTTTGCTCTTTTTCCCAAACAAGTATTGAAGATCAAGAGGGCATTGTTTGGAGAGCATCTTGTTTTTGTTTTTTGCCCTTTTGCCCAATGTCAAGCACCGAGCATACGTTTTGCTCATGCGCCCTGAGCTCCATGTCCGCTCGAAGGGGCAAACAAGCTAGACCCCGGATGGGTTTGTCTCAAAGGGGAACACCAAAATTGAGTTTCGCTTTAAGACCACCCCAAAATGGGTACCCATATTTAAGGCACTTCGGGTGGGGTGGGGTGGGAGTCTCGTTCGACAGGAGGACGAGTACTGCGAGTCCCCGTCCCATCCGTGCAAAGCGGGGCCCTCGAGTTCCGAAGATCCGGGTTCCAATGGGTGTGGCTCAAAATTAAACAGGAGGGGTTACGCAGGTTTTGGTCCATGTTTCCACTTACCAGGGTTGATTTTGGTACCGTTTTTTTGAGCCACAGCCAATGTCCAACCCTAAAGTGACCCTAAACTGAGCTTTTCCAAGGCAATGCTTAATCCTTTGCCTGATTAGGGGGGAATCTGGACCAGGATTGGCCAACTGTATTGTGAACAGACTGGGAACACCGACTACAAAAAGCTGCACGCGTGCCCTTTTGTGATGCTTTGCCAGTACGGGCATGACTAAGATTCGCCTATTTTGAGCTGTTTAGGAACATCACCTACCAAAAGCTGAGGTAGCTGGTTTCCCAGTGAAGGTTGCCGCATCTCAAACCAAACAGGGAAGCCCTTTCACCCCCGAAATCAGAGGCAAGCTTTGTTCCACGAGGTGAGGCGCAGAAGGCGCAGAAGTCTATTTGGGTTGAGGACATGGCAACTTGCTCAATATCCTAAATCGGATTGTGCTGAGGTACCCGTTGAACAAATTCTGAGCGATTTGACCCGTTGAAGGTTCCTTTCTTGTGTACTGATTTCACTTCACCCAGATGGTTATAGGGGTGCCTGTCAAAACACCCCCCCTGCTGTGCGTTGCACGTTGCGGGGAAACAGAAAACACCTGGTGATTTGAGGTGTTGTGTTTGGTTGAGGTGCTGGTTGTTGCATGGTGTTGCATGGTGTTCAGTGCTTGCGGGATGTGGCGGAGGGTGGGGATGATTCAGGCGTGCAGTTCGATGCCCGCTGCCGCTGAGTCCGACATGTGCATTGTAGTCTACCTGGTTCCAGCTAGCAGCAAGCCACACGCGCCTCTATAACTTACTCAGTGAGTTCAGTTCAGATGTTTAACTGACCTGTTGTGAGCATGCATGACAGTGCCAAGTGGGCCTAGGTTTCGCAACAGCAAACGGGAAAACGACAACGGGGCCTATTTCGGGCAGACACAAACACAGAACAAGCAACAACAACTGGAAGGCAATTCCAAAGCACACAAACCAATAAATCCTTCAGCAAACAGAAACCAGCAAACGCACCCCCCACAAAAAGAAGCAAACGAACATGAAGGAAACAAATTCACCGCCACCACAAAATGCGTGTCTTTGGTTTCATATTTGTTGTTCTCGGAGGAATTCTTCGGATGCGTTTTCCCTGATTGGGCAGTTCAAAGCCAAGCATGATGTGCATGCGGCACGTGTGAAACTATTAGTAGTCCCAAGCCAATTGCAGGCAGCGGTGCTTCCGCACCCGAAGTGCCTGTTCTGGAGGCCGCAGTTGGCACAAAATCTCAGCGTCCCGTGGCCAGCGGTTTTTCTGTCCCTGACATCGATTCAGTTCCGAGCGAATGGCTGGAAGCACAAATCTCAAAAGTTCAATTCAGGCATTTCTTTGGTGCATTTTGCTTGGCTGTTAGGACTTTAACTTTTTGCAAACTAATGGGTTTTCCGTATTAAACCACTAAAAGTTAGTCACTTTTAGCAGGGCTTCGCAGATTTCGCAACCGAGATTTGAACACCTTGGAAGTCGGCAAGGTGCCAAAAACCCGCCTTTTACCCGGCATTGAGACACTCATTGGCATCGATTTCGGTTACTTACGAGCCAAATGCTTCAGGAAGCACGTGACTGTCGCGTGGGAGACCCGCAGATCCAGAAGATGGCGGGGATCTCAGAGGCAGAGCTATGCAGCTAAGCCCTTCATTTTGGTTTGCTGTTTGTAACGCAACGAACATGTGTTGCATTTAATCAACACAATTGGTTGGCAGAGATAGTAAAACCACCAGTAGCAGAATCTATGTTACGTTGAGTTTGTATCATATCCGTTTCGGGGAAGACGCTACGTGGGAGCACTCAGACATCCAAAACGAATTCGCCTTTTAACCTTTAAGGGTTCCCTTTTTTTACATCATCCAAGTCTGACTTCAGTGATCCAGCATTTTGATGGTATCTGGTGGTTTCTCGATTTGGTGAGTTCCTGTTGGGTTGGAAACAGGACGCACTGCCCTTGATCACCCTGCTTATTTCTTCCCCTCCCGTTCGATTGTCCTGCTTATTCCTCACGTTCGCCAAAGCCGAGGCAGTTTGTTTTCTTCTTCCAAACCTGCGGCTGTAACTGATGCAACCAAAGTTCCCCTCTTCAGGCCCTGATTCTTTGCGGGGGCTAAAGCTCAATTTCCAGCCTGGCCACACCTTGCCTAACCCTTGCAACATCGAAGTGGTGGGAGATCCTCCACGCCTTGGATTGTATGTCGGGAAAAAACTTACTGCATGGGGACTCATCTGAGTCGCTTGCTCAAAGCCCGGGTAGATGATTGTTCGTGAGGCAGAATTCCAACCGCGGCCGCCTGTTCAATTCTTCACATGGTTCTGGGCTTACCACCATATTTCTACCGTTCGGTTTTGATTACGAATCAGGGGATATGAACCACTTAAGACCCACATCCGAACCCACCCATGTCATATGGGGGTTGATCAACAGGTCCTTTACACAGGGTGACCATTGGTTGGGAAACCACCAAAAGGATTTAATATTGTCCACATGCGACAAGTCACCCATGGTCAAAACTGGGGGGCCCTAAATGAAATACATTGACCCTTGAAAAATGGGGTCAAGACCCCTGTATTTTGGGTAATGACCCCATGTTTAAAGGGTCATGGAACCTCCAGGTATTGATCGATTCCCATCCGAACTTGAGACACCGTAGCCAAGGAGTGTCAGAACGGTTTCTGCCTGCGGCGGCAATGGTGCCCCGCGGAGAATCCCAACTGGGCCACCACCGAGGCGGATCGAGAGCCGCATGCGACTGGGGAGTTTGTCTTAAGGGCAAAAGGGCAACCCTTGGATTTACCCAAACTTGACTTTGCACAAAGAGTTGCGCTGCCCGTGCATTCAGTTGTGACCTTTGTGGGTAGCAAGGTATATTCACCTTTGATATGATGGTAATCCCTGCTTACCTACTCTATTGGCGACTGGCAGCACTGAGTTTTATTCAAGAATGCCTAGTTTAAAGCAAACAGGGCCTCAAATGGATTGTGTATTCTTGATCCCCTTTTGACGCCCTTCGAACAAGCATCATTTGATTTTGGGTAGACGCATGTAGGCTTCCCCCAATGGATCCCAGTTAACTCCGAAAGGTAGGTACAACAGCCATTCCTTGTTTTTAAAGAATGGCTCCCTTGGTTGAATACTATATCAGCTTCCCACTAACTGGTGGTTTGGGGATTTGAACCCTGGTTCCCTTTGAAGGCACATGGGGAAGCTACCCCCTTACTTCCTATCATCCAAACCGCCAAACCACCAGAACAGCTGACTATACAGGTGATTCGGTCCACTGGTTCCTTCAAAAGCTGATTCTGACTGGCGCGCTTCGCAGCCCGGCCAGACCCACTACCTGGATTTCGACAAGGTGGAGCTGTGGTTCAAGTCCTACGTGCATTACCACAAGCCAGAAACCCAGAAACCCGCCGACCGGAGAAACTCGAGCTTCATAGGATTCCTCCCAACGACTTTAATAAGGTCTTTTCAGGGTCAAAACAAGGGGGAGGGTGGGTGAATGTTCAATCCTATGAGAGTATCTTGAACAACACACGGGTGCACTGGCTCAGTACCATTGTAGGCAACCAGGGTTGAAACCAGCATATAGTGACCCTCTGTGCAGGAAGGAACAACGTTCCCTATATTTCCCTTTCAAACACCCCCACCAAGGCAAACTCACCTTCAAGAGGCCAAACAGGTGGTGTTTAAAGTGATCAACAAGGGACATCTAGGGGAGCCTTCTGCAAAGAGGGTTGCTGAAAACTGTTTGCGCAGTACTTGTTCCAAACCTAGGTAGCAAGTTAGCTGGTTGCCGAAAGCATGTTGGCGGTCTAGCAAAATCATGGTCGTTGTTGAGAAACATTTTACATTTTTGCTTATGGTGGTTGAAATCCAACCACTTAACTGCGAAAATTTGAATTTTTGCTCCCCTTCCAACGTCTACCAAGGGTTTGAAAGGTTGGTTGGTTCAGTGTCTTTGCCAAGTTGGACCCCCGTTGACTAGGATCACTTTTCATATTCGATATTTCAGGTTCAGCAAACATGAGTCAACCAACATCTAGACATGATCTCGCACTTTGGCAGCTCACTGAAAGGGGCCGGCAACCATGTTCTTTTTCCATGTGGCGCCCCCTTTTGGGGGCCGAAAGCTGTGACCGAAACGGGCCAACAGCAGCCATTTGTGTGACCCTGAATTTCGTGGTTGGCTTCACGTTGGAGGATTTCCTTTTGGTGTCCGTTGAGTCTTCTTTTGGTTTTTGTGTGGTGTTCTTTGTTTATTTCATTTCTGTTTCGGCTTTCGTTTGGTTTTCTTTCGGTTGGTGTCCTCTCGTTTTCCTGTTTGTTTCCGTTTGGGTCTCCAATTTGGTGTTCTTTTGGTTGTTCCCCAGCTCTGCAAATTTTCATGAATTGCCTCGTGTCCAGGTTTGGCCTGGATGTGACCACTGCGGACGAGAAAGAGTCCATTCCATACCCACAGAGGCGACACAAACTCCGAGATCCGGCGTCTGCGTGAGTCATTGTGGACAACCTTCGAAACGCATGGTTGTGCGCAATTAGTGTTTTGCGCCACTTTCTGTGATACGAATGGAATCCCTTTTTGAGTGACAAACTAGTCATTGGGATGGGGCACTTTGGTATCCGTGAGCCGCTTAATTCCCATATTGCTTGAGACGTTTGAAAGGAGGCTTTTCTAAGTCAGGTTGTGCTTGATTGATAGCCTGGATTGGAAGTCGCCCTCTCAGTATGAGCGGGAAGACTGCTTCAACGGGTTTTGGAGGAGACCACGCATGAGTCGATGCTAAGTGGCGATGTCTTTTATCTATCTGTATGTAACGCTGGCAAGCTTGGAACTGTTGGTTGGCAATCAAGTCAACGTCGGATTCAGGCCCATCTCCATGTGTATCGGAGTTGATTGCACGTTCAGTGAGTAAAGTTATCGGTTCTAGGACAGATGAATCCGAAGTCGGCGTTTATGCCAATGCTATGCAGCCTGCCTCCCTTTTCCGGGCCGTCAAGCAGCAAGTACGCGTTGCCCCTTCTCTTGGCAACGACCGTCAACAATCCAAGAGAACAGGAGTCTCCAGACACATTGGGGGGGGGTCCAGATAAATCCATGTTCAAAGGCTTCACTTCACTTGTCCACCCGGCGACAGGGCGCCTGGGGCTGTCTTGGACAGGCTCCTGGCAGGTTCTGGCCGCGGATACGAGGTTCGGTCAAGGCCAACTGGCCACCAACCTTTGATCCAGGCAGCTTGACTTGGCGGGTGGCCCAAGTTGTCAAAGGGCAGCAAGCCCCTTTTCAAGTGCCCAAGCCGATTTTTGGGCGGCAAGAGATGGACAAACCGCTCAGGGGGGCCAACACCTATCGCCTGCAAGACCTCATCCGCATGACCAACTATGCCCCAGAGGCGCGCGCTTTTTTTGTTTTGTTTGTTTTTAAACTATATATATATAGTTTTTTTGGCTTCTGTCCGCGTTTTTAAATTCGACAGGCGAACGTCCTAAACAAAGTTGGCACCTCTAGCAGGAGGTTCTACCTGGTTGCTAGGTGTTACTGCACCGAAGGCCTGTTTCGTAGACCAGTCAAGGGAGAACCACGAAGGGTGGTTTTCCTTTGGTTCCCGTTTGAAAGCACGTTAAAGAGAAAAGCAAACAAGAGACCGGTTACTAGCACCGAGAAACTTTCACAGACAAAGTCGTGATCCTGGGGGATCACAGAAAGGGGTGATCATTCCCCATTAAAGAATACATTGTGTAGTGCGTTTTACTGTTTCTCCAAGGGTTCAATGATACCTCCCTACCTGCTCCCTCAACTGGAGCTTCGTCGAGTCAGGAGTTTGTGGAGAACGGGGCGGTGATGACACTGAACGGCCTGTACTACTGCAACCTCGATACCGAGCTCTGCGAGATGAAGGCTGGACTAGACCTCTCCCTGAAGCTTGGTGGACCGACATATGCGTGTGTCTTGAAATATGGGCACCCACAGAATTGTGGCTGTCCTTCTTGGTTTGCTTTTAGACCAACAAACAAAAGGGTACCCTGAAAACACACAACCCCATATTATATATATATTATGTTGGAGTTTGTGGATTTGTTGGGTTGTAGTACGATGTTTATTGGGCGCTGCACAACACAGCTGTGGGCTGATTATTTACCTTACCGTCACTGTTCTTGGTATGGGTATGTTTGTTATGTTTGTTTTCTTGTTCTGTCCGCTGATTTGGTTTTGCGAATGTACCAGAGGTTGGAAGCTAAAACTACGGTAGTTTGGGATTTGGACTTCAGTTCGTTTTGAAACTAAATGGGCAAGGCACCCCCCTCATGTCCTAACCAGCCAAACCACCAGATGGAAAAAAGATGATCGATATTGCCCACAGGTTGGTGCATTTTGCCCTGTGGCTGGCCAGTGGTTGGTGTTTAGGTCGTCAGCTTGCCCCGAACTGGTGTATATAGATCTTACTCAGATCCAGGTGGACTGTTTCAGATGCTCGGTTGCTTGCAGATCCCTTTGAAGAACATAATACACATATCACATGTTATAGAATATATATATATATATGTATTCATACACAATACACATATACTTTACACACACATGTCACTCCCAGTAGCTGACTATAGGTAGGTTTGTACAAACCGAACGCAAAAGCAAGAGGGTGGTGGCTTGGGAACGATTCGCAGGTGGAGACGGCGAACGTCGACACCAAGACGGGCTTTAACCACGTCTATCAGAATGTGTACTTCGAGGTTGGGGGGGGACATGCAGCTTGGGTTAACTTCCTTCCAACCAGTTTTTTTCTCGCAAAAGACGCGCGTTGTCGTGTTTGGTTTTGTTTGTATCCTTTTCTGTTGTAAAGTGTTTTGAAAATAAGGAATAATTTATCTTGAGCCCGGATCCATTCCCTGTGGTGAATATCTGCGGTATGTTGGTTTGCTCGAGTTCTTCATTACGTGATGGTGGCCACCTGCGGTTCCCTACAGCAAATTCGCTTGCAACTGGAAGCGCTGAGTGCACTCCGACCCGCAACAGTGGCCGGTGTGGCCGGTCTTTTCGCCCTCGAAAAGTGTCGTGGGGAATCAGGGTTTCGATTCCATGTTTTCATGATACCAAGGGAGTTCCCTTCCAAGTATTAAACTAGTCACGGGGATTTCGGAGTTGCAGAAAAAAGTGTTGTTCTACAATCACGTTCGAAGAGTTGTTTCTACCACCTACTGTACAGTTTTGTGAGGGCCTTTAAAATGGCATGTAAGCCGCCATTCAGCGAGGATATTGACGGACCAGGACATGTCAAGGAATACTTGACAAACATATAGGTGGTTGAGATCAGAAACACATGCGGCGTTGGACAACAAGGTGCAGGGTTGGAGAACAGGGTGGGAACACCCGACCATTTAACCATGTAGCATCAATATAGCAAATAATTGCCGTACCTCACAATGTGTATCTCAAGCCGTGCCATTTTTTCCTTGTTCCGTGTGTACGTCTCCTGTGGTGTGTCAGTTTGCTCCTTCCCGCTGTAGAAAGCATGCGTATCATCCGCTCAGCCCTCTTTTGAAGTGTGTGCTTATTTTTGTTCAGCGTTGTTCAGACCTTTTTGCAGAAGTCAGGTCACCACACCTTTAAAAACGCCCTGGCCTCCTTGAAACAATCGTGGAGACTCCAAGGTGTCTCCCTCCGCTCAAAAAGCAGCTTAACAAAAAGACCTGAAAGGGGTTCGTGCCCTTTGATTCGTTGGGTTGCAACTCATGTTTGGAAGAAGTTTCTGATCTGTTCCACTACCCCCAAACTACTCCGCCCTGGGGAACATGTAGGGGGCATGGTTCCTGTATGACTGTATGAGCCGGGCTGCGGGTTTTCTCCGTGCAGAACGGAGTCCGGAAGCGGGACGTCTACCGCATGTTCGGCATCCGCATTGTGACTTCAGCGACAGGCCGGGTAATCGGGACACGTTTTCGGGAGCCGGGGGAAACGGGGGGTTGAGCATAGTTGGTGGGTTGGCGGAGTTCTTGTTCATTCGAGGTTACTTTGCTCGCCTGCAAACAGTGGTAGTGATAATGCAATAGCCCTCTGGTGGACCATGGAATCGATTGGGAATTCCTATTACTCGTCTACATCCTCTCCCCTCTCTTCTTCTCCCCTCCTCCATCCGCTCTCCCTGCTCTCGTCTCCCATCTGCCCTTCCAATCCCCTCTCCCTTCCCCTCCCCTCCCTTCTCCCCTCTCCCCAAACTTTAGAGCCTCCGGCTCAGTCCGCCGACATTGTCCTCTCCCTTTTCTCCTTCTTCCTCTCTTCCTTGTCTCCCTTGTGTGTTCTGTCGTCCTCTCTCCCTCCCTCTGCTCCCATCCTCCCCATCCCCCCAAGCCTCTCTCTCCCCACTCTCTCTCTCTGCTCATGTATGTATGTATGTATGTATGTATGTATGTATGTATGTATGTATGTATGTATGTATGTATGTATGTATGTATGTATGTATGTATGTATGTATGTGTATGTATGTATGTATGTATGTATGTATGTATGTATGTATGTATGTATGTATGTATGTATGTATGTATGTATGTATGTATGTATGTATGTATGTATGTATGTATGTATGTATGTATGTATGTATGTATGTATGTATGTATGTATGTATGTATGTATGTATGTATGTATGTATGTATGTATGTATGTATGTATGTATGTATGTATGTATGTATGTATGTATGTATGTATGTATGTATGTATGTATGTATGTATGTATGTATGTATGTATGTATGTATGTAATGTATGTATGTATGTATGTATGTATGTATGTATGTATGTATGTATGTATGTATGTATGTATGTATGTATGTATGTATGTATGTATGTATGTATGTATGTAATGTATGTATGTATGTATGTATGTATGTATGTATGTATGTATGTATGTATGTATGTATGTATGTATGTATGTATGTATGTATGTATGTATGTATGTATGTATGTAATGTATGTATGTATGTATGTATGTATGTATGTATGTATGTATGTATGTATGTATGTATGTATGTATGTATGTATGTATGTATGTATGTATGTATGTATGTATGTATGTATGTATGTATGTATGTATGTATGTATGTATGTATGTATGTATGTATGTATGTATGTATGTATGTATGTATGTATGTATGTATGTATGTATGTATGTATGTAATGTAATGTAATGTAATGTAATGTAATGTAATGTAATGTAATGTAATGTAATGTATGTATGTATGTATGTATGTAATGTAATGTAATGTAATGTAATGTAATGTGTAATGTATGTATGTAATGTAATGTATGTATGTATATGTATGTATGTATGTGTATGTATGTAATGTATGTATGTATGTATGTATGTATGTATGTATGTATGTATGTATGTATGTATGTATGTATGTATGTATGTATGTATGTATGTATGTATGTATGTATGTATGTATGTATGTATGTATGTATGTATGTATGTATGTATGTATGTATGTATGTATGTATGTATGTATGTATGTATGTATGTATGTATGTATGTATGTATGTATGTATGTATGTATGTATGTATGTATGTATGTATGTATGTATGTATGTATGTATGTATGTATGTATGTATGTATGTATGTATGTATGTATGTATGTATGTATGTATGTATGTATGTATGTATGTATGTATGTATGTATGTATGTAATGTATGTATGTATGTATGTATGTATGTATGTATGTATGTATGTATGTATGTATGTATGTATGTATGTAATGTAATGTATGTATGTATGTAATGTAATGTAATGTAATGTAATGTAATGTAATGTAATGTAATGTAATGTAATGTAATGTAATGTAATGTAATGTAATGTAATGTAATGTAATGTATGTATGTATGTATGTATGTAATGTATGTATGTATGTATGTATGTATGTATGTATGTATGTATGTATGTATGTATGTATGTATGTATGTATGTATGTATGTATGTATGTATGTATGTGTATGTATGTATGTATGTATGTATGTATGTATGTATGTATGTATGTATGTATGTATGTATGTATGTATGTATGTATGTATGTATGTATGTATGTATGTATGTATGTATGTATGTATGTATGTATGTATGTATGTATGTATGTATGTATGTATGTATGTATGTATGTATGTATGTATGTATGTATGTATGTATGTATGTATGTATGTAATGTATGTATGTATGTATGTATGTATGTATGTATGTATGTATGTATGTATGTATGTATGTATGTATGTATGTATGTATGTATGTATGTATGTATGTATGTATGTATGTATGTATGTATGTGTATGTATGTATGTATGTATGTATGTATGTATGTATGTATGTATGTATGTATGTATGTATGTATGTATGTATGTATGTATGTATGTATGTATGTTATGTATGTATGTATGTATGTAGGTATGCATGTATGTATGTATGTATGTATGTATGTGATGTATGCATGTATGTAATGCATGTGTGTATGTATGTATGTAATGTATGTGTGTATGTATGTATGTATGTATGTATGTATGTATGTATGTATGTATGTATGTATGTATGTATGTATGTATGTATGTATGTATGTATGTATGTATGTATGTATGTATGTATGTATGTATGTATGTATGTATGTATGTATGTATGTATGTATGTATGTATGTATGTATGTATGTATGTATGTATGTATGTATGTATGTATGTATGTATGTATGTATGTATGTATGTATGTATGTATGTATGTATGTATGTATGTATGTATGTATGTATGTATGTATGTATGTATGTATGTATGTATGTATGTATGTATGTATGTATGTATGTATGTATGTATGTATGTATGTATGTATGTATGTATGTATGTATGTATGTATGTATGTATGTATGTAATGTATGTATGTATGTATGTATGTATGTATGTATGTATGTATGTATGTATGTATGTATGTATGTATGTATGTAATGTATGTAATGTAATGTAATGTAATGTAATGTAATGTAATGTAATGTAATGTAATGTATGTATGTAATGTAATGTAATGTAATGTAATGTAATGTATGTATGTATGTATGTATGTATGTATGTATGTATGTATGTATGTATGTATGTATGTATGTATGTATGTATGTATGTATGTATGTATGTATGTGTATGTATGTATGTATGTATGTATGTATGTATGTATGTATGTATGTATGTATGTATGTATGTATGTATGTATGTATGTATGTATGTATGTATGTATGTATGTATGTATGTATGTATGTATGTATGTATGTATGTATGTATGTATGTATGTATGTATGTATGTATGTATGTATGTATGTATGTATGTATGTATGTATGTATGTATGTATGTATGTATGTATGTATGTATGTATGTATGTATGTATGTATGTATGTATGTATGTATGTATGTATGTATGTATGTATGTATGTATGTATGTATGTATGTATGTATGTATGTATGTATGTATGTATGTGTGTATGTAATGTATGTATGTATGTATGTATGTATGTATGTATGTATGTATGTATGTATGTATGTATGTATGTATGTATGTATGTATGTATGTATGTATGTATGTATGTATGTATGTATGTATGTCTGTAAGCATGCATGTATTTATGTATGCATGTATGTATGTATGCATGTATGCATGTAAGTAGTAAGTAAGTAAGTAAGTAAGTAAGTAAGTAAGTAAGTAAGTAAGTAAGTAATGTAATGCATGTAATGTATGTACGTATGTATGTATGTGTGCATGCATGCATGCATGCATGCATGCATGCTTACATACATGTATGCATGTATGTATGTATGTAATGTATGTATGTATGTAATGTCATGTAATGTCATGTAATGCAATGTAATGTAATGTACTGTAATGTATGTATGTATGTATGTATGTATGTATCCTTGCACTTCCCCTTTGCTCCCCAGTATTTCCCGCAAAAAAAAACACGGTTTTTCCAGCGTTTTCGCAAAGAGGACGTCCAAAATCATTGAGTTTTTCCAGATTTTCGGCAAAAGGATGCAGGAAGCCCAAGCCAGCAAAAAAGCCGGCAGGGGGAATCGAGCCTGGGACCCCTGTTTTGCGACACCGGCTCCCCGAAGACTACGTTTAGTGGAACGTCATCAAATTGCCGCGCGGTACGTGGGGGACCCCCCCCCCCCCCCCCACAAAAAAAACCTACGTAATAGACGTCGGGCGGGGGGGTTAGGGGGGGGGTTATCCTCTATCCTCTAGTAAGTATCCGACACGCCGAGCAATCCCCTCTCCCTTCCCCTCCCCTCCCTTCTCCCCTCTCCCCAAACTTCCACTGGCTCCCGGTGTTTCCCCTTATGGTGGCTCCAGTTCCTCACCATATTGCCACAGAGCTGCTCTTTCGATCAAACAACACACAAGTCATAAGTTGTTTATTTATGTTTGATTGTTTGGAGGGGGGGATAATGTTCAGATGCAGCATCTTTTGAACCCCAAATCCAGCCCAAGCTAATGGTAAGCCCAGCCTCAGACCTTGAAGAAGATCTGAGGCACTCTGAGAATCTAAGAACCCGGGCATTGCCCAATACTGCAGCTACCGTTGTAGTCGGTGACCAAAGCATGCCACCACTTGCAAACTGAAGTTGACAATTCCTCGACTGGTGGGCGCAAGTGCAAACCTAGGGTTCAGGCACTGCAGGCGCAAACACGGGCCCCTGTGTTGTGAGCAAAACCCTCCGCAAATTTCCTGGAATCCAATCTACCTGGAGTCTCCATGACCCTTTAAAAATGGTTGGTCAATCCCCAAAACAAAGGGGTCATGACCGCATGTTTAAAGGGTCATGGCATGGTTGTTGTTGGGAAACATTTTACATTTTTGCTTGTTGTGGTTTAGTGGGAAATCCCCACTTAACTGCTAAAACGTCAACCAAACATGTTTAAAGGGTCATGGAGACTCCAGGTACGTGCAACTTGTTCGCTTTCGACTGCTAGGCTTCGGCGGCAAGACCAAGTTCTCGCAGATCGCGGCGAGCTCAATGCTTTGCCTCGGCGGTACACTTTTGCGGTTGGCATCAGAGAGAAGTCAAAGTAAGACCACTCACTTCGGGGTTTCCCGCATCTTGGGACATTCCGAAGTGGGTGACAGATCAACAATTTGCAATGTACTGTGAAGGAAAGGGTGGTAGGCAAACCGCTACCTCGTTGGACTAAGTATAGCGCCCTCACTTTCCCGGTGTGCGGCCTCGCCCATGACGAAGCTTCATGTTCTGGTCTCTTTGGACCAGCATTTTGGGAGGCTCGCCCAAATTCCAAATTGAAGGGCAATCTAAGGGTGTTGCGTTATGGGCCACATGTCCATGTCCATTTTGGATCTGGCTGATTTGTTTTTGAGACTTGGACGCTACAATGTTGCTTAAACCTGGAAGGGCAACTGCAATTTTTGGGGCTCCCCATCCTCATCCCTATTCATTCTGGTCTTTGATTCGACCGCATCCCCCCAAAAGGACCTTTCGGGTTTACGAATGGCTTTTCCATGAAGCCCGCAAAAGGTCTACCTTCCCTCCAAAATCATGAACTGGACACAGGGCTGCCCCAAAAGGAAAGTAATCTTCCTGCAGCTTCCATGATTGTTGGAGGCAGGGCAATTTTCGAGCTTCCTGCTTTTTGGGAAGACCGTTTTAGTGATAAATACAAGGTTTGGACTTTTTTAGGGCCATCCGCTCAGCAAGTGAAGCTTTTGCTTGTGGGGCGCTTTGGCTTGGCGTTTTGAGACTCGCCCAATTTGGGGCGTCGAAGCGCCAAAAGGTGCTGCAGCTGTCCTCCGGCATCGCCTTGCTGGGCACGGCGGAGCTGGCGGGAGACCGAGTGACGGGCTCCTTCTGGGCGTTTAAAAATATGGCCGTGGGTCAAAACCAATGGAATCCCATTTTGGGGTATTTTGAACCATGGCCATATGGCGCTCCCACAACATGGGCAGTTTCCAACTGCTTGTCAGGTTGAGTTTCAGGTAGTTTGGCCAACTTTTCTTATGAAAATCAACCAACAGAGTCACGATCCCCTTTTTTGCCACCGGTCTAGGATTCCTTCCCTCGTAAATTACAAACATCACCCGAGTTCACAAGAACTTTTCTATTTTTCCCTGGCGGGGGGGTTCGAGGCTACCATTGAAACAGCCCGTTGCACTTCCCTTGAAGTGAAACTTACGTGATGTTTCTTTTGTGTCCAAAGTGAGGACATGTTTTTTTGTTTTCTCGGTTGGGTCGCGGAGAGTTCCCATTAACCAACTCTCATCCTGAGTTCCAAGACGATGCGGAAATGGGGGAAGACCAGTGACCAGTGGTAAACAAACACATGAGACTTGTTGGCCTATCCACGGAAGTGAGACAATCAGGAGGGTAAGCTTGAGGATGTCATGGATCCAGACTTTTCGGTCCGAAGCGTGACTTGTCTTCCATTATGTTGGGCTTAGTTTTTGAGTTGGTACCCTAGTTTGTACTTGAAAAAGGAACCCACACAAGAGCGATCTTTTTCTTCTTCTTCTTTTTTTTTTGGGGGGGGTGTCCCCAATTTCTAACAACCCCAGTGGCATTTGTACTTTACAGGTCTCCTTCAAGAGTCTTCAGATATCATTTGGCATTTGAAACATGAAGCCTCTTCTACCAATCCGAAATGAAGCTACATGAAGCCATTTGTTTGGGGGTAGTGCTCAGGCGGATTATCCTGTTTCATTGTGCGGTCTTTGAGGCTGCACCCTTTTTGGATGGGGTTGAGTGGTGTAATTGTTTGATGGTGTTTCTGGGTGTTTTTTGAACCATTGGATAGTGTCCACATGTTACAAGCTTCTGGATGGTAAGTGTTGGATGGCGTGAAGAAACGGGGACAATTCCCAAAAAGCTGTCTTTCAGATGGAAAGTGATGAACCATACTTTCACAGATAATGACAATGCACCGTCCACGCCGAAAAAGTCTGAACTTCGGGGGTTGTCTGGAGTCTGAGTCAAAACTACGGTATGCCCTGAACATGGGGGGGGGGTGCCCTTCAGTGTGCCACTTGCTGCTATATGTGCGTCAAACAACCAGCATACTCGGGATGGTCCTGGACCTTCTTGACATGGATTGACAAGAAGCATCGTACGGATGACCAACGCAAGGAGGTTTGACCTTGGTACCCATTAAAGCCCAAAGACAAGCTTCCTGGGTTACCCATGATACACTCTTGCAGATTTAGCATGAACGCCAACAAAGCAAACATCTGTTGATAGCGCGGCTTTTTTTTTGGATTCCTTCTGTCAATACGGTGGATGGACGAAATCCTGCACCCCTTTGAAACCATTGGAAACCATTGTTTATTGGCATTTACAGGGGAATCACCAATCCGGCGGTTCTTAGGTGGTGCGAAACGGATTTCGTCCATCCACAGTATGTCAGGGAGCAACTGGGAGCTTGCTGTTTGCGAGCCCTATGAAACTGAGATCGCGGACTTCTGGCTCATGAACTGCGTGCCGGAGCGCAGGCGAAAGCACCGACCGATCTCCGGGCTTCGCAAAAAAAGCCGTGGGTTCCCCGGGTTTGTTCCGCCACCCATCTGGAAACAAGCCCATGTTGAGCCGTTGTGTGGTTTACAACATCACCTTCTGGGCCAATTCAAGCAGAGTTTATTTTTGGTTGCGTTGTTTAAAGGTGAAATGTTTGGAAGCCTGTTATTCATGGTTGTGGAGGAGAACAAAAACAGGTCCCTGCGTTGGTGTTAGGCATGCCATTTGGAACTTAGCGGGAAGGCAACTTGAGGCGCTGTTGTCATCCGTTCCCCCCAAAAAATGAGCTTGTCGTCCCCTCAGGACGCCTTTGTTGTAAGGGTCCATTCTGAACAGGGGAATGGATTGCACATGAGTCTCATTCTTGTCAACCCTCCCATCCCTCCCCCCCAAATTGTTCGCATCTCCTCAAATGAAACTCAACAAGGCCCGATTATATAAGCCTAATTAGACGCCCAAGGCCCTAAACATGAGGGCATTTATGACAATTGTCAGTCCAAAAGCTGATCTAGCTGATGTCCACGGGAGGCAAATTGTCATTTGGGAGGGACATTGGGAGGCTCACTCAACTTCACACAACAGACAGGCACTCACTACGTTTTCCCATTTTCCTTTCGGGCAACTGCATATTTGCCCGCGAACGGTGACTGAAAGCGCCGAGCGATGGATTTCTGCAGGCATTACACCGAGCAAAAGGTCCGCCAGATGGCGAGCAGCGACTGACTCGACCGGGTCCCGGACCGCCTCGAAGGACTTCAATGGCCAAAACAACTATCCATCAGCTTGACTCGGCATGCAGATGATTGAACGTTCTATGTGGTTTTACCTGTTGTATTTCCACAAAATCACGGATGCAGGTGTTTGAGACTTTTTAGTCGTCCAACGCCCTTCTGTGCACTTCCAGGTGATGTGTTCTTCTCCTTGCCAGGGATGTAGAGGAGAGTGGTAATATCTCCTGGCAGACTTGCCGGTTGAGGCGTGAAAGCCTCGCTTACTCCTCCGAGGAACCGATTCAATATGACTCCACCCTTCAGATTCCATTCTTGTGGACGGGTCCGCGTTCCGCACTAGACATGGGAGCAACCAACGAACAAGAATTTGCCTTGTTTTCCTGGGCACCCAGTTGCCGGAACGCCAGGAAAGAAGCTTATGTACTATATGGCGGTGTTTTTTTAAGGGTATTTTTGTTCGGTTTCAAAGGAGAAGCCCGCCATTCTTCGGGGTTCCCTAAAATCCTGAAAGGAGACACACCCGTATGAAGGGATGTCCGTGAATCCTGATCTCCGCCAAACCCTTTCAAGGATTTGGACGAGATGGCCCAATGTTAGTAAACACCGAGGTCAGCTTTGACTTGCCATTTGGATTCGGAGGAGTTAGCCACAAGCTGCCGGCGTGCGATCGCACAGTTTCACCCTTCGGTTTGGAGCAAAAGGCCCTCTTTTCTGCTCCATGTGGGTGTCTTGTTCTGGGTCCCTGCTGGTTGGTTTTAACGGGAAGCTTACAGGACACCATCAGGACACCAACCATTTTTGGGGTCCTTCACTTGAAGGCAAACCCATGGTGATGCTTTGCTGTTGCGGGCCCTCATACTGTGGAAACCTGATTTGAATGCATGGGCAACCCACCTACCCACTGGTGCAAAGTTGATTTTGTGCGTCCGCAGAAATTTCCCCACTTTGGGCAGGCCTGAATGCTAACCACAATTGGCTGCTTCGCTGGTGAAGACTTACCCAAACTTAGACTCGGCATGACTCGGCTGACATCACCTTTTAGGCCGATGTGAATGGACGTTCTCACTGTTGGTATTCTGTTTGAGGTGTTGCTCTGCTGCTGTGTTCAATTTATTATCTTGTGACAATTGTGGGACTTGATGAACAGTTTCGAGCCTTGGCTCCTTCATTAAAGCCTTGAGCGAATTATATAGATCGTTGTATGTATGCCAAACAATTGAAGCACGATTGGCCCGTTTCAGAAGGTTGCTCTACTATCCGGTTAGAGATTACCCATGAGACAAGCCACATCCCACATCAACAGCAAATTCCCAAACCCGAGCAAGGCCATGTTGGTCTAAACATACTGTGGGGTTCTACCCAGTTTCATAGGGGTTTAGAAAATGGTCTATGTAAACCATTATAGTCGACTGGGCAGGACCAACAAGTAGCAGCACCCAATCAATTCCTTTCGGCGCTATTCTATGGTTGGCTTCGTGAAGGTTATAGTAAGGCCTAGAACAAGCAGTAAACGCAGAAGTCAATGGGTTTTGAGCCCTTACGGGATAGAACCAGTCGCCTTGCAGCATTGACCTCGCACGGTTCGGCCTCAAAGTTCGGCTGCGCAAAAGACGCCGAGCCCGCGGTCTTCGCCGCATATCGCGCCTTCAGCCCGGAACCCAGACGGATCAAGGAAGAGGAGGGGTATTTGTTTTACTTCTTCCAGGGCCTGTATTTAACACGCATGGAGCTATATGAGGCTCCTTCCAAATTTCCAGTCGTCTCTGGTCTGCTTGGGAATTGTCACAATCATCGGGGCACTCACTGATGAGCGTGTCAAGTCTTGCTTGTTGCATCTTGCATGTGAAGCTCACACGGACTCCTGTGACAATGTTGGTGAGTTTCTCTCCATTCTCGTTATATCGTTTGTGAGCTATCACACTTTCCTTGTTTTGCCACAGCTTGTTGTTTCTTTTGTCGCGGGAAGTCCTAGCACATTCCACAGATGGCATTGCAAGTTACAGGAACTGGCTCCAACTTCAAGATGTGTTTCGGATCTTTCAGGAATTCCGCGCAGAGTGCTTCCACTTGCCACTATAGCATCCAACCAGCCGCGTCTTTGAAGGGGTGGCTCCTTGCTTGCCTGTACAGGCAAATGGAAGTACTGGGTACATCTTCCTTTACTCAGGTTGGCCCTAATTGGGTCTGTCTTTTTTAGGGCATCCCTTTTTTGCTGGTGTTAAGTTAAAGGGACACCAACAGGAAAACAGCCTTTTTTTCTATATTTGTTTTTGCGGGGGTCCCCTAAACAGGACACAATCTGGTGGTTGGATTGGTGGTTTGGAAATGGAGTTTAACCCTCCTGGAGGGATGGGCCCCCCAGAAAACCTCCAAACCACCGATTCGGCCCCAAACTGCCAATTCGAGGGGCGTGCCTTTGTTTGAGGGCACCCCTTTGTTGCTTGGTTTCTAGGGGCACCACCAGGAACACTGTCTTGTCATTTGGAGTGCAAATCGTAGAAAAGACATGCTCATGTAAATTCAGAAGCTCATGTGCACATTTGTGTTTTGTTCCCCAGCTCTTTCAGCTAGGTCTTTGCCTAAATACGCTTCGTAGTTTAAGAAGAACACAAAGGGGAAAAAACGCGGGGCCTGCCTTTGGAGAGTTCCGGAAGGTACCACCTGGTTGCTTGGTAGGCGATGATCCGGTGCCTGGCCTTGGCGTTGCTGAGCCTCTGCAGGCGCTGCGCTCTTCGCTCGCGTGAGGGCGGGAGGGCGCCTTCTCTGCTGGCCATTGACCCCATTTCAGTGATAGTTTTTTGAGGGACCCCTCCCCCTCCCAATGGCGGGTCAGTTTTCCGGAGTCTGTAGGTTCTTTGCGTGCCGCTTCCAGGCTGCCGAAGGGAAGCAACGTTTGTCGGAAATCACAAGTCGAGATACAAAGATAAGTGTCCTTTTGGAGGTTAGTTTGGCTAGCAATAGATGGCACTGGTTTAGGTTGCTTCTATTTCACTTCACCAGGGCCAACGATTTGTCTAAAAGGTCACCTATGGTTACAAAGAGAGGAGCTCAAACTGGTTTCACGCAAGTGAGCAGCCGTTTGCGAAACGATTGTGAAGGATGCTCCCAACCCACCAGTCCCAAAGTCAAGAAGGTAACAAACCAGTAAGTAGCAACAGGTCTCCTTCTGGAGATGTCTGAAGTTGTAGGAGTTCCTATATCTCTCTCAGCTTTCAGATCTGCCTCTCTTCCTTTCTCTATCCTCACTACCAAGATCTAACTGAGAAAACTGAAATGCAAATGAGTTCCAGATAAGACTCCCAATAAGCGCAAAGAATCCAGAGAAGAGGAAAAGCTGATATACAGAGTATTGAAAGGAACACTTGAAATGGAGAGAATGTGATGATCTGATTTGCTTATTCTCAAGGCCATGTCAATAGAGGAGGCTCCGGTTGCGTTCTGCCAGGCCGGCGCTGGCAGACGAATCCTGGCAGGACTGCGGGTTGCATCCGCTCCGGTGCGCTGTGTTTGTGGGGATCCAGCAGCGCCAGAGTCCATGGCTTCCATTGGCTGAAATGAAGGGTGGTGTGTGTTTTTTTTCCTGGGGGATCTAATATGGAATCTATCAAAAGGGAAACTATCACTATCACTTTCCTGTAGATTTTCCTGAAATGGTTTGGAAGGGAATCTATCACTACTGGAAAGATGCTGATTCTTTCCAGGGGGCTTCAGCTCCATGCAGCTTATATTGAGACCTATATGCACCTTTAGAACCACGTTGATAGAATCGAAATCAACGGGTTTCGGGCGCTGCTCATGTGGGGTTGGCGAGTTGTTTCACAATCTAAACCTTTTGACGTATAAGCGTGTATTTGTTTGGTAGCGAGCTGACCGAGTAATCTCAACCATGGTGCAGGTTTGTTACTTAAAGGGATTCCTGATTTTCCTGTCCTTGTCGCTGGGACTATTTGCTTTAACCAGGTGGGTTACCTGCCCGGTATTTGCAGCACGCTCGATCGGGAGTTAACCGAGATTGCTCCCATGATGGCGGATCCTCCCGCGGAGTCTCATGAACGATGGTGGTTGGCATACATTTTGCAGATGCTTCCTGCAAGTTGACTCACTATTTGATTCCTAAGCAATCCAACAAAGCAAGAAAGACACACTCACACTCACACACACACACTCACACTCACACACACACACACACTTTAAGAGGTTGGTTGATTTATGCGTAGCTGAGCGCGCGCAGGTTGGCTTTTCTGGAGGAAGTGAGCCATACTATGATAGACTCAGAGTTATCTCATTTTCCTGGGCCTTTGGCCAGTCTTTTGGCCAAAAATGCCTTCCCATGGGTCAACCGTTGAGCTCTTACGTCTTTGCCCTCACCGACGGAAGAGATGTTCATCCTATGGACTAAATCCAGCCTGGTGCTTCATCCCGCCAATGCCAGGTTTCACCCATGCGCGCTGCAGGAAGGTGTCCATGCATGGTAGGTTTATGGTGAAAAGTTGAACCATAGCGCGTGAGTTTGAAGAGAGTTGGGCCAGGACACGCCAATTTTGACCTCTTTGTGGCAAGCAACCTCCAGCGGCGACAATGATGCAATGGACAGGCGGACACCTTTTCCGCATGCGGCAGTGGACGGAGAGGGACTCAGCCTTTCATGTAGGCTGAGGGTACCCTTCTTCCTCCGACAGCTGGGGTCGATAGGCCCAAATGCACTATCTCATGTTAAAGAGATCGGGGTCAGGCACCCATTGGAAGGGGTCAAAGAATACATGTTTTCCTGGTTACAACGTGAAAACTAACGTGGAATCAACACGTGGAAAGCACTTGGGCTAGAAAGACAAGTGGCGCAAAACGTGGAACCAACGTGGAAACAACTTGGAATTAGGTTGTGTTTCTGTATTTTGTCAATTTCCAGGCCCCCCAAAGACATTTGCGAGTCGCAATCGTGGGCGTGGAAAACAACGTGGAACAAGCGTGGAATTAGGTTGTTTGTGTGTGTGTGTGTTTCCGCATTTTAGCAGTTTCCAGGTCACCCAAAAAGCATTTGCAAGGTACAAACGTGGGAAACACATGGGGAAAACCGTAGAACAAACGCGGGTCAACACGTGGAATTAGGGTGTGTTTCTGCATTTGTGAAATTTGCAGGTGGGAAAAAAATGTGGAAAACACGTGGATTAGGTTGTGTGTGCTTTTGCATTTTTGCAATTTCCAGGTCCTGCAAAAGGCATGTGCAAGGAAAACCGTGAAACAAACTTGGAACTAGGTTGTGTTTCTGCATTTTTGCAAGGTACGACCGTGGGGAAAAAGTGGGGGAAAACGTGGAAACAAAATGTACTTGGGTTGTGTGTTTGCATTTTTGCAAATTCCATGCCCAACAAGGAAACCCAAGTATCTTCAGTCTCATGGAGGGTTCCGGGGTTTGCGGCTTGCTGTTGGGGACATACAATACTGTGTTTCTTCTTTTAAAAAAACAGTTGCTGTTTTGCAGTTCTTTGAAAGGGGGTCTTTTAAGGAACACCACCAAGTGCTTTCACTTGGGATTTTCTCACCGCTGACCATTTTTTTTGTTTATGGTTGTTGTTGTTGGGAAACATTTTACTTATTTTTAAGCTTATGGTGGTTGAGTGGTGGAAATGCAAATCCACTTAACTGCTAAAATTTGAGATATTTTTGCGCCCCAAACCCAACGTCAATCAAAACCACCGGACAGGCTCCTGGATAGCAGCGAGAGCGCAGTGTCCGCGCGCTCCGGGGACGGGCGTGGCCTCGCGTGGCGCGGGGCCCCGGACCCCGGGCGCGGCGTTTGGCGAGGCCCAGTGCTAGTTGCTATAGGTAAGGGGAGTAAAACCAGGGAGTAAAACCTCAAGCGCAGTTTGAGCTTGCATCTCTCCCAGTGCTTCCAGTGACCCTCCCACCAATTATTAACATGGATCTTGACGTTCCGGGGGTCCTGGTTTGGACCATTTTCTGCCCCTGTAAGGTTCCAAGTTGATTCGGAGGGTACTATACGTAGGCAACAAGGGGAAACCATGACGTAAGACCTAGCCATACCTGGCTACTGGAAGTACTGGGAAGGTGGGAAGCGTACCCAAAAACAGATGGGAGCCAAGCTGGTTTCACTTTCGTTCGGTCCTCATTTACCGGTGCCATTGATGCTTCTAGACACTTAGGTCCTGGGGATGTTCCTTCACTCACAGGGGTCCTGATATGTCCTTGTTTGTCCTAACATCTCTGTCTTGGCAGTCCGTGAGTGCATTCCCTGTTGGTGGGGTGATGTTTAAAGTGGCTTCAAGAGCACATAGCTGTTCTAAGACAGCTTTATTGCAAACATACATGTCTGAAATGAAAGGGGGTCACTCACAATGATCAATTACAGATTACATGATACCGGCAACAATACTTATAACAACTTATAACTGTCCGGCACAACTGCGGGAAAGGAGCTGCACGACATCCTAGACTGATCGCCAAGTTTCGGGTCGCTGGCCACCGTTCGAAATCCTGTGGATGTGTCTTAAGTTGTCCTCGCACAGCGCTGAGGGTTTGCAATCTTGTTTTAAACTTCACGGGTCGACAATTGTTTTCTTTTTCCCGATGAGCCAACTTGTCGCAACGGTGCGGCAGGTGGTGGTAGGAATGCAGACCACCTTCGTGTGTGTTTTTGTTTCATGGGACTCCCAAAACTTGTCAGTGGTCCTAAAGCACTTGGCCAATGCGTTGTGACTGCTCTGTCCTGCCACCTGAAAAGAATCCTCACGGGATTGGGGTAGGCAGTTTCCTGGTTGGTGGTTGGGGGGGGGTTCCCATTTTACCCTCAGCAAATCCGAACCACCAATTAGGAGTTGCTTGAATGTTGGAGGTGTTTGGATGTACGAGAGCTGATTAACTTGTCAGGCTGCTTGGGCAATCTTCAGCTGGCCTGTTTCACAGGGGGGCGGGTCTCATTTGTTGGGTGGGTGCCGTAGTTAGGAAACTCTCGTTTGCGAGTCCCGCGTTTGTGGGCCCATCCTTGAACCACTGCCTCAAGCGAGCAGGATCGCTACGCACCACGTGAAGGCTGTTCCCCCGAATTGGCCTTGGAGCTAAAAGCAATGTTGCACATTGCTGTCACCCACAACATCACTCTCCACAGCAAGTCGTAGTATTATGTGCTTGAGAAGGGAGCGCGCAGTCTTCACCATGGGTTGTCTTTCATACCAGGTTTGACTATACCTTAGTCAGCTTCCAAAAACTAGGGACACTTTTCGCTGGCCTTTCAAGGGAAATCAGAAGGAGACCCGCCAGGTTCGGCCCTCCACATTGTTGGAAAGACCCATCTCGTGATTTGTTGTGGCCTGGGTGCCGTTTTTTTTTTTTTTATCATTCTTAAGACGCACCAGACATCCTTTGGTCCCAGGTGGGCCTGGGAGTTTCAGAACGTTTACGCTCTTGCATCCATCATCGTGAATGGCGGTGACCCACTGTCTGATGACGAGGACGGGCTGAGAGGATGCTTGCAAGTGAGCCACAATCAACTGGGCATAGGTCAAGGCATAGGTGTCTTTTTAGCTTAGTTTGGATAGAAATAGATGGTATTAGTCTAGATTGGTTTTATTCCTTTTTTCGAGGGCCATGTATTTTACCAAAAGGACACCCGTGCAACTGGGTAGGTGAAGGTTGAGGGATTCTTTACATTCATTTGGTTGACCCCCTTCGCACCGGGTTTTGATTATGACTCGAGGGACCCCAATGGCAGAGAGCGCGGGTCACCACGAAGCGAGGTTGAAGCACTTTGTGTTTAGCTTGCGTTCACCTTAAAAGGAAGCTGCAGCAAGCTGATTCCCTAGTGGGAATCCCGGATGAATCAACGTCCCCTTGTGGTGAAGATTTAAAACTTTTGTGGAGGGAACACCCCTCTATTAGTAGAAACAGTTTATGAATCTGGGGTCAATAAGGGAATTATGTACTTCAAGCCAGGATGAGTTCGCTTGCGCATTTGGTGCGGGTGGGACGCGAATTTCACGGACGCGGTTGACCGGGGTTGGCAGGACGTTTTCCTTTTGCAGGTTACACAGGGTTGCTCCAAACAGTTAGACCAAAAACAGAGGGATGGCAAATTGGCGGGCTGCTCCATGCCAATGATGTGTCTATCAGTCTATGTGGCCCCCTGATTCATGCCAACACCTTTGGCATGGTGTTGAAACACCAGTAGGTGGCATCCCATTTTAGGAAGCACCCATTCCTGAACGCATCATGAGAATGATATGTGCTCCCCTAGCTTTGCCTTTGCCCAGACCTTAAGTGGCCTGGTTTTCAGTTTTTTGGCGGGGGATTTCCTTTAGCGCACTCCCCGAGTTATGATTTATAGTTTTTTGAGAAGACCATGTCAAGACCAACCCGAAGTGTGGTTAGTCTTTTGGGGCTAGTCTACTCTGTCAAGTCAAGCACAAAGAAGAAAGTGCCTTTTCCAATGGACATCTACGGGTCTGGATCTTCTGCCCCCGGCTTCCTTTCGGCGCGAGCTTTCAGCGCGACAGGACGAGGCGGGCAAGGCAGCCTTCACCATGTGCGCGGAAGCCAAGTTGCACGCACGCAGGTTTCAGGTCATGGGTTCCGTGTGCTTTTCAGGGCTTGAAGGGAAACCATTTTGGGAGAGCCGCCAATTGGGATCTGTTTTGACACATACCCATGTGTACTCCCCGAGTTCCTAGGCTCGGGACCAGTTTTGGAGGCAAGCACCAAGTTTCACTTGCTCGACGACACCAGCTCTTCCCTATGGGTCACGACCCCTACATTTGTTAGGACACTCAATAAAACAGGTGTGATCCATGAGGCGATGGCTTTTTGGCTGGTGCTTCCCCCACTAAGACTAACCAACCGACCCAAACACCTAGGGTGCATCCCCCCTTTAAAAGAATGGCAAGGAACCCCCCCCCAATTTAGATGATGCAACTCCTGAGCAGTAAAGAATGGTGGTTATGTATAATATATTGAATTTATATATACATATGTATCAACCCAAGGATTGTTTGATGAAAGCTGAACCCCGGGAAATGAGATCATCAGTTTTGGTTGCTAAGGCACGGACAATCCGGAGTGCAGCAAGGACAGCGTCATGAAGCAAGCCCGAGGCTTGGTGGAGGACAGCACTGCGAATCGGCGGGCACGAGAGAGACCAATCCAAGAGGTTCTACTTCACTCCTGGGTCCACAAACAGATCATCTGCCCACCCCTTCCCCCACCAAGGCTCACATCCCTCTAGGGGTACCTCCCCCATTGTTTCCATGGATCCTTCTTTTCAGAGAACCTCCAGAAACCCAGGGAAAACGGCCAGTTTTTGAGAAGAACGATGGTTGAAAAGAATGGGGAATCATCCCCTAGAACCACAGCATCCCGATTCCAACCCCACCGAACCCTCGAGTTCCTTGGACGATTCCTGGGATGCAACGAGGCCACAACTTGGGGAAACTGTTTGGGGAAGCAGGGGATGAAATCCTAAAGCATGGGAGGTTGACTGCAATGACATTTCACTTTGCGGACTGGGTCACGGAGTGAGGGTTGCTCAAATAGGGGCCGGAGCCCCCCTTTTTTGGCGGGGGGGGGGGGGACTCTGTGACCCCTGTATTCCCTGTTGCTCCCAAGTTTCAGCCGCTCCCCTGCCAACTTTGCCCTTTCCCACAAATCATTGGAGGGTTTGCGGCCACAAACTGTGAGCTTTTCTTCTCTGGGTCCTGGTAGCTTCGGTTTGGGACCTGGGAGTTTGTGTGCAGTTTGCTTGTACCACCCAACTTCGGACTTGCTTAGTATGTTCAACTAATAGCCGGACTTGTTGTGGTCTCCACTGCCCGGCGTGAGCAGTACCGGTGGTACCTGGCACAATCTGAGCCGCCCCTTATACTGTCCGAGTAGCATTGCGCTTCTCCATACCATCGCCTAATATGTTCAATCCATAAGCCCCCCCCCTGTACCACCCAACTTCGGACTTGTTGGATATGTTCAACTAATAAGCCCTCCATTGGCCCCATTCCGTGGGTGATATGGGACTTCCAGGGAACGGGGACTTATTGACAGGGGGCAAGCCGAGCCGAGCGAGCCGCTGGCCCGCTGGCCGGAAGGACGTGCAGAAGCGGAAGGAGCAGCGGGCGGCGGACCGGGAGAAGGCAGGGGACGATCACAACCCGCATGGCATGATCGTTGTTGGGAAACATTTTACAGTTTCCCAACAATAATCCCCAGTTAAGTGGTTGAGTGGGAAATGTACGTTTATTGTGGTTTAGTGATAAAGCTTATTGTGGTTTAGTGGTTGAAATCCCACCACTGAACTGCTAAAGTTTAGATTGTTGCTCCCCTTCCAGCAACCAAGGTGGTGTCCTTCCCTCAAGAATCATGATGCAAATTATACCATCAAAACCGCAGATAGCGAGAAGAATTGAACAGGCGCTGAGGCACAGCCTGCTGCGTGTTTGGAGTTGTGCAACCCCATGAGAGAGCAACTTGGTCAAGCTTTGCCTTACTACTGAAGCTTGCATGTGTTGCCTTCTCAAGATTCATGGTTATTGGATGTTATTAGGAAGATGTGGTGAACTCCCGATAGGCAAGGAGACCAACCACAAGGTGGGTGCCGTTTGGGTTTCCCCATTTTGCAATATGTTGGGAGTCAACCGCAGCTCTGGTTTATCCAGACATCAACATGGTGTCGACGACTTTCTTTGTGGGTTGAACATTCACGTCGGGATCCATAAGTATCCCCTGCCTCCTTCAAAACATGCTCAACAAGGATGAATCCTAGTTGACCAAACTAAATGTTGGTTGAACATGACCAGCTGTCTCAGATGGGGGAGCACCATCATCCTCCTAGCAGCAAGCAGCCTGAACCTTGCGCGGGCTGCTGCCAGAATCGGTTAGCGAAGGTTGCAAGATGCCACATAGCACCGGCCGGGAGTAACTGATCACGTTGATGCTGTGGTTCCCTGGGGCTAAGTGTTTGATCGGATCTTTGACTTCCCAATGCCGGGTTTTCCCTATGTCCAAAGCCCTTTACAAAAAGCAGTCGCGGCGGGCTGCTTGATTTCGGAAAAAACTGCTTGGCCACAGAGGGTGTGCCTTTGGGACGCTAGCAAGTGGCAGAGAGGTGTCCTTGCACTGTATGCCTTTTTGGGTTTGGTTTGGAGGGAAACCCACGGTACACCGCTTGACTTGGACACAAAAAAGACGCTGGCAGTTTGCTTGGCTTCAACCCGTATTGTACAACTATTGGTATGACTTATGAGGCTTGGAATGTCAAGCACTGATTGCCACGACTGTACGTTCTGGGCCCATTGCTAGAAGCCCTTTTTGTGGGTTCAACTCCCTGAAGATGGCCACGTAGGGGTGAGTTTGGTTCGTAAAATACCAGGTCCAAAATTAGCACGTTGATTCCAGATGTGCAGTTCTCAAAAAACCTCCTTGATTGGGCTTAGTACTAGTAGGGTTGGACCCTTTCACAGGAATCTGGACAACCAGTGTCAGGGCCCCCAGGACCCGCCAAACTGCGCGCTAAACAGCCCATGCGTTCAATTGCCGCATATTGCCGCTAAACAATGCCGAAAGGGCTCGGATCATCATGACGACTGTTTCCAGATCGCCTATCAACCACGCCAGTTTTGGCTGATTTGTCTTGCGCAAGGCCACAAGGGGAAGCTCTCGTTTCTGAGTTTTGTTCAGATGCCCATGGCACGGGGGAGCCTGTTGTTTTGCAGGAAGACTTCGATGATGAGGACGAAGAGCCCCTGGCATCGAAGCGAAGAAGGGGCAGAGAAGCGTTTGGGTTTTCTTGAAACTTGGGAGTCCTGTGTCGGTTTTGTTGGGTTGTTGATGTTTTTGGCTATTCCTGAATTGTGTTTATGTCCCCCCTTGTAACCCGTTGGTTTCTGAGTTCACATGTTTAGAGGTCTCCACAAGGTGATTCGGGCAGGTGAGTTTTTTTCCTTCGTAGAGGAAAGGTTCTTAAAACCAGAGTTGAATTCGTTTGGTTGACCCAGACTTAAACAAAAAACCAGGGGTGGCTGATTTCCCCCAACGGAGAGGTTCCCTTTTCGAACTTCAGAATGAGTCCTCAGCACCATGATCATCAGAAGTGGTTCCCTGTTTCATGAGGGCGCAATTGATTTTCGGAGACGCCTCGTGGATCCTCCGGATAAATAAGAAGTTAGCATTAAGAACCTCTCCGGGGTTTGAGTCTACCTTGGGTACCAGAACAGAGATCCGTTTGCAAAGCCCTTGAATAATTGGAGATGTCTAATACAGAAACACCTTCACTGAGGATCACCCGGCCCGGTTGATGGACAAAGGGCTGAGCATTGCCAGGGTTTTCTGTGGCTCAGGTTGGGAGACGACGAGTTCTGAGAGCTTGGGGCTGAAGCGGCTGAAGAGCTCTGCCCGAGCTCTCGCTGTGTCGGTAGTGAAACGCCAAAAGCCCAAAGCCCCCTGAAGATGAACCAGAGCTGTTTTTCTTTGTAGGGAGGCCCACAGCATTCTCTTTTAGGCAGATGATGTACATGTTTCTCTGTTGCAGTCATCTAGTGGTTTCCGTTTTAAGGAGTAGTTTGAGGTAAAACGTTGTTTTGAGGCTGGTTATTGTTGCGTTGATGTCCATACTGGTTAGTACAGCTAGCATGGTTTTGTATGCCATATGTGCGTGGATGTACTGAAGCAGTGTTGTTAGTGCAAACTACTGTGTTTGTTCCATTTATTGATATCTTGTGGTGTGTAGTCTAGAACCTGTGTGCCATTTAATTTTGAGGTCTGACGGTAGTTATGTAGAGATTGAGTGTCTCTCTGTGGTTGATATTAAGTTCTGCGTAGAATGTCTTCAAACGGGTCCAAACTTGTTCAACAGACTAGTCGTATGTGGAATCAACCGAGTTCTGTGTAGTAGAGCTGACCTCTTTGTCCAATAATTACGAATAATACTAATAATACTGATAACAATACTATTAATGATATTGATAATGGTGTATATATATAGATAGTGTATAATATATATATATATATATGTAGATAGTGTATAATATATATATATATATATATATATGTAGATATGTCTCATTCTTACTCTCAAGAGTGTTTACTGGAATGCCTGCGTCCGGACTCTCCAGGTTGACGACAGGGTACCCGGACAAGGTCGAACCATTACTGATTGACAACCTCAAGTTTTTGAGCAACACCAAGCAATTGGATGCCACGAAGCACTAAAATGTGGGTCCGGTAAAGCCCCCGCCAGCAAAAGCTATGTCTGTGATTTTGGTTGGGTGTCAAAGTCCGAAAAGAGCATCTTTTTCAATAAGTAACTCGAGACAAGTGCGAGTTTGTTTTTTGTTTTGTTTTTCTCCGAACAGCCCATATTATGTATCGACGTCAAAATTGATGATAGCCAGTTGACAAAAAGTCAATGCTCAAATCTGAGAGAATGCGATATCGAACCAGCAACATTGGACGACTGAAATTAAGGAGGGCGGAATCTGTAGTTCGGAGGGCGTATCATGTAAAGGAGCCGCCTTCAAGTGAGGAAGGGGTGTGTTACAATTAGCTGTACAACTGATCTCGTGTCATATCCTTTGGTCATCGAATCATCCTTATGTTGTTTGTTTTTGTTACTGGTGGAGAAAGCGGACATCTTCTCCATCACTGCCTTGCCCTATTTCATAGCTTTGTATCCGAGGCCTTGGCGAAACCTGAACGAAAAAAGAAAAAAAGCCCCGTCAAAGGCGCCTTCAAGGGAAAGCCCCCGAGGCAGAGCTTTGATCGGGCGGCTTGTTTAGTCCAACGCTTTGATCGGGTGCACCGATCCTTAAATGGCTGTGGCTCAAAAACCGGTACCAAAATGGAACCCTGGTAAGTGGAAACATGGACCAAAACCTGCGGTTTGCCCCTCCTGGTTAATTGTGAGCCACACCCAAAAAATACTCGAAAGACCCGGTTCGGAACGCAGAAGCCGATAGAACTCGGAGAAAAGTCCAGCGCAGTTTCCGTGGAGCTGCGTCGCTCGGAAGAAGCTGCCAGGTCTTGAGTAAGATATCAGGTCGTTCGGAGTCACTGCCAGGCTGCTGAAGCGGCCTTTTTGCCCAGTTGCAGATGTTTGTTTACTTGATCGGGGCTCCTTAAAAGATACATTTTGCCCATTTGAAACATGGCTTGTTCAACACCAAAATAAAGGGACACAACCATGTACAAGTTGCAATGTTCAGGTGTATGAAGCATCCGGATCCCTGTTGATTGTTCCTTTCGAAGGACTTTGTGGCAGGGATCCTGGAAAAGTTGACAGGCACCAGTGTCTCCAGACAGCCTTACTGCTGCCATTTCAAGGGTAATTCCCTTCAGCTGATCGAACGTCCGCGGTACAACTGGGAGGAAGATAGCGCGGAGCTTAGTTCGCACACTGATATTCAATCATACACTGCTTTGATTCCCTTGGTATGGAACCTCCACAGCAACTCCAAACGATTCACCTGACTCACCTGAAGAATGCCTTCCGTGTGACCTCTTTGTAAACCTTGGTCCTTTTTGTTGCACCCTCCAAACAGGGTCCTTCTTGAGGCTTCAATTGATTCCGCACTCGCGTTCAGCCAGATGGGAGTGTGTCTAAAGCAGGGACCCCAAAACGAGCCCAGAAGGGTGCCCTCAGACTGCACGCCGCTGAGGCAGCCATGCCGACACCAGCGGACAAGAGGAAGATCGTGAAGAAGCGCACGAAGAAGTTCCCGCGCTTCCAGGCAGACCGCTTCAAGCGCATGAACCCGGCTTGGCGCAAGCCCAGAGGCATCGATGGCCGCGTGCGCAGGCGATTCAAGGGCTCCACTTTGTGCCCCAAGATTGGCTACGGATCGGACAAGAAGACCAGGTTCCGCCTGAAGAATGGCTTCTACAAGTTTGTCGTGCGATGCCCAGCTGACTTGGAGATGCTGCTCATGCACAATGAGAAGTATGCCGTGGAGGTTGCCCACAACATCGGTGCCAAGAAGCGCAAGGAGATCGTGGAGCGGGCAGACGAGCTGCGCTTGTACGTCCAAGCCTCAGCCATTGCTGCAGGGGATGCTACAGGCTAGCTTGGACCATTTTCGTCGGATTCCCCAAATTCTATGCAGTATGATGCAAGTCAACCGACGCAGAGGACGATCAATTACTTGCAGTGCCAAAGGAAAGCAACGACAAACATGGCAAAGTACGAATTTTAAGCATTAACTCCCCACTTGCTAGTTGGGGAGTCGCCGTCTGGAAGCTTGTGAGATCTGCATCCAAGCGCGACTTGAGGTGACCAACCGCAACGCCCGCCTTAAGCAGGAGGAGAGCGCGTGAGAGAAGCACTAGTGGAAGTCGGCCTTTTGGGCACCCCCTTTTGCAGGCGAACAAACCAGCCGGATTTCAGCAGACGGATTTGGCCCCTTACCTCATACCTGTTGACTCTTTGGAATCTCACGAGGGGTGCCCAATTTGAGTTACTCGCAAATTTGGATCGGACCAGCTGAGGGTGACGCGTGCCAAAATAGTATGCTTGTGCATTTCTCTGGTACCTGGCGTCTCAGAAAAATGGTTCTCGGAAGTAATTGCACTCAGTTCAAAGCTGACGTTGATTTCTGAATCGAGTTTTTGCTCGCCCGAGACGGGCAGATGTTTAGGGTGTTCCACGTTCAAGAAATCTTGGGACTTCCGACGTGCCTTTTGTGTTGGTGTGTGCGGGTGTGTGCTGTGGGGATGCTATTGGCAAAGCCACGTTAAGCCGTGAAGTGTGAGTTAGAGATCCAGATTTCTAGTTAGTCAGTTTGTGGCGGGCCGTTGATTAATTATGCGGTGCGGACGACTAAATTTGCACTGCGGGACTTGCCACTGGGATTGAACACTGGATTTGTACAGCTTCGCATTGAGCCCTTCTTTGGTTTTCAATTTGGACCATCTCCGCAATCTGCAACTCGAGGGTTCGAGATCAGCTGATCCCTCACAGCCTGGCGCGGTGAAAAGAAGACAGCCCGGAGCTTAGAGCCTTTGTTCCGTATGTATTAAGATGTAATGTATGCATTGTCATGTCCCCTCTGAGGCAACACGCGGGGGTCTAAGCATGGTCAAGCAACTACATATAGATCATGATATTGATACCAATATTGTGGCTGTATGCCAGACACATTGTGCACTTGCATGCGTGTGTATATATATATATATATCTACTTATTTGTTTCGAAGACAGCTGCAGACGTGTATATATATATATATATGTAACAACACTAGCAACCAGAAGGGTGCCCTCAGACTGCACGCCGCTGAGGCAGCCATGCCGACACCAGCGGACAAGAGGAAGATTGTGAAGAAGCGCACGAAGAAGTTCCCGCGCTTCCAGGCAGACCGCTTCAAGCGCATGAACCCGGCTTGGCGCAAGCCCAGAGGCATCGATGGCCGCGTGCGTAGGCGATTCAAGGGCTCCACTCTGTGCCCCAAGATTGGCTACGGATCGGACAAGAAGACCAGGTTCCGCCTGAAGAATGGCTTCTACAAGTTTGTCGTGCGATGCCCAGCTGACTTGGAGATGCTGCTCATGCACAATGAGAAGTATGCCGTGGAGGTTGCCCACAACATCGGTGCCAAGAAGCGCAAGGAGATCGTGGAGCGGGCAGACCAGCTGCGCTTGTACGTCCAAGCCTCAGCCATTGCTGCAGGTGATTCCCTCACTACAGCGAGTGAGAGACTATTTGTTGCATCCATTTGCGATGGTTCAGAGGCCGCAAAAGCCAAGGGCCTTCATTGAGCTTCTGGAATGGTTTTGATATCCTGGAAGCTGCGACCCTCTTGAAGTCTTGGAATCTGCTGGGACTCTTGGGGCGTGTCTTTTTTAGGAGCCAACCCCAAGTCCAAAAGAATTTCCCTTTGCAACCCACAAAGAGGGCTACCCTGAAAACCTTTGACCTCTGCAGGTGACCAACCGCAACGCGCGCCTGAAGACAGAGGAGGCAAGCTGAAGATTGAGGCCAGAGGAGCTGTGTGCTGCCGCAAAGATGACTCGCGAGCCTGGGGTTAGGGGTTATGCATTGAACTCCGTGTTTTGTCGTGGGAAGAGGGGGATAGAAAACCAAAGAGGGTGTCTACATTCAGAGGGGCCCTGGGTTGCATTTTGTTTTGCTTCTCACGGAAACGAGAGAACGACTGTAAGAGGGCTTTTAAGCTGACATTCTAGGGGCGTCGTCGAGATGACTGCCGTGGGTTGAGGATCGTGTGCACACACTCGATTTGGCACCATTCCCGGCAGTTTCATGTTGATTTCCCTAAGCAACGATCATGTTGTGGGCCATTTTGATGCAAAGCTCAAGGAGGTTGTTCAAACAACTGTGGCTTCAAGATGTTCAAACAAGTGGGCGGGTTCACAGTGCAAATAGGCCACTATGTGCCAAGTGTGTTTGTGGTGCGAATGGTACTTGTTCTGGAACAGACACAGTCTGCTTGATCCTATGCTTGTTGCAGCGCATGAGACAGGTTTTGTTCGTGACTCACATGCATTTGCGGGAGTTGCTGCTGTCCACTGTTGATTTATGGGATGCGTCCTGCACAGAGGCTCAGGTTGCCCAAATGGGGCGCGTGCTCCTTGCTTTGGGTAGTGCATAGTAGTGCAAGATTGGATTTGGTTGCGCTTTGAGGGCATCTGTGCAGGTACACTCAGGCAAACTCCTTGGATTGGTTGATTGCAACGTGTATTTTTTTGGGCGTGTGGCGCTGTTCCTTTCCTTTGTTCCCCACACTAAGACCAGAATGAGACCTTATTGTATATCCAGGTCTCATTTGGCGGAAAGCAGGGGAAGGGAACTCTTTATTTGTTTTTGGGCTTTCTCGTCTTGTTTTCCAATCCAATGATGACCTTCCTCTATGACTTGGCTTGAAGCTTGCCACGTGGTTCGACTTGTCTAGGTTGAAACCCACCCATCAGCCCCCAAGTGGAGTCAAGTTGACCATTGTGAACACGGTTACCGTGGGTTGCAGTCTAGGGTACAAACACAGGCACTAGCTTGGAAGCAGGAAACGGTGGACACCGACCAACTGACGACCGGCTGTCCCTCTTTGTGGCTCCAGCTGATGGGCAAGTGCCACGGACGAAAGTCAGACAGCCTCCCAAGAGCAGCGGTAGATTCAGCAGCTTGGGCCGGAGCTGTCATGGTGTGCCACTGTTCGAAAGGTCCAAAAAGGTCAACCTTTTCGTCTAAATGTCCACATGACGTGGCAACCAGGGCATGTATTAGTATTTGCCGCTCGCGCTCTATGGCATGCATCTGGCAAGGTAAGATTTCTTGGTGGCACAGACTGACCTTTTGGCCAGACATGAAAGCAGGACATTTGGGTTGTTTCACCTCTTCTTTTGGGATCCTGGCTGTTCCAACTTAAAAGCGGGTATCGCGGGTCCATCCAAAAGGCCCAGCCCAAGAAGTGTCCCAAAAGGTGTCGGACTCCATTTAACGCAGTTCTCTCCCTTATGTTTAACTCCCTTATGTCGTGTACAGCGTGCTTTTGGCGTAAAGGGCGGGTGAAAAGGTGAACCCTTCGAGCCAACCAGCTTCGGGGCCGCAGCCATGCCGCCGCCCCCACATGGAGGCGACTGATGTCGGGCGTTGGGACGCCGGGGTGTGAATCTTAGTGGGAAACCAATAGGAAAAGCAACAGGAGAACGACTGAAGACTTGGAATACATTGAACCCTGGCGGATGAAATAGAAGTTCAATCAAGCAATTGGCATAGTAAATCCCTGATTGATTGGATTGGGGGTATCCCATTTAAGAGGAGGCGGAGGCGAGTCAGATTTTGGGAAGCACACACTATCAGTCCACCAGGTTGATGAACTGGTGGACTTGCTAAGCAATAACATTTGTGTCCACCAACCTTTTTTGAGGGTGTTCCTCAATGAGCATCTAGATAAGTGCCTGAGCCACTGTCAAAATCTGGGGACCTATATGAGTAACTGACAATATTGGTAGACCACAGTTGATTGAAATTGAGGGACACGAAAGGACAACCCAAATTTCCCATAGAACCCTTGGCCATGTTCCTCTCTTGCTTCCTGACGCTCTTTCTCTTTGCTGGCTTTAGGCACAGTTTCTGTCGTTTTATAGGGTGTTTTAGTCTCACTTCCTGAGTTCGTGAACCTTAAACTTTTTGGGAAGACCATTTTAGAGGTAAATATAAAGTTTGGACTTTTTCTGGGCCATCCACCCAGCCAGTGAGTAGTGCTTGTTCATAGAACGTTTTCCCTGGATCGGCTGCCAGGGGTGGTGAGGTCCTGAAAAACCCAGGGGCTTCCGCAAGGAGGGAGTGATGCGGGCACTAAGTTCGCCTGCCCAGTGCAGATAACATGGGTGCCCTACAGAAGCCAAACCTCGCTCGGGTCTTCGACGATGTTAGGAAGTAGCCCCTAATCTAAGTTACAGCCCAGTAAATTCCCCAACTGGAGTCAACCCCCATAAGTAGGTTACTTCCATTTGCTTAAGAATATTTATGCATGTTCCCCGGTTGTTTGTGGAGATGGAATCTAACGGTTGGGATCATCCCTTACAAACCTTGTGTGTTGATGCTGGCACAAGTGGTTAGAAGCCTAGGGAACTCCCTCCATTTGCCTTTGTGTCCACGGAAGGGTTCCTGCGCCGCCTTGTTGATTATTTTCATGGTGGATTTTCTATGTTAATACCAGGTGTTGATTACGGCTCATTTGGGGATATGAACCACTCAAGACTCGCATATAATCCGAGCCCGCCCCAGAACGATGACTTGGAGAAGATGATATTTCAACCACTCAGTGGCAACAGTTGGTCATTCGCGGTTCAGAAGGCGTATTGGCCAACCCCTAGATGAACTTGAGACCTTGTGGGTCAAAACCAATTGGTACCATTTTGGGGTAGGTGAATTCACCACCCATTTTCGTGGTTGGATTGAATCGGATGTTTTCATAGGGGTTACCTGTTCTTGGCTTTTGAAAAGCCCATGGCCACCTTGGAGTCGAAGGAATCCGAGACTCACTGCCTGAGTTCATGAACTTTAAACTTTTTGGGTTTGGACCATTAATTTTATTGGACTTTATTGGACTTTTTTTGGGAAGACAATTTTAGTGGTAAATAGAAAGTTTGGACTTGTATTGGGCCATCCACTCAGCCAGTGAGGAGAGAGAACGCGTCCCATGCGTTTCGCGTTCCGTTTCCGCGTTTCGTGAGGCGCCCACGCCTCCCGCATCCGGCCGCTGCCCTCGGTGTCCAAGGCGCTGTCACCGGAGGTCTGCGTGCGGAAGCCCAGGACCAGTAGTGAAGGTCTGGGGTTTGGCAGTTGACCTGGATACCTTTTCTTGGATGGTTGCTGGGGAGAAATCTCCTGTACTTTGGCGCATTTTGCTTGGATGTTAGGACTTTAGCTTTTTGCCAACTAATAGGTTGTCCATTAAACCACTAAAAGTTAAACTTTTAGCAGGGGAGCAAGATGCAACCGAGTTTCAGGGTGGGTTCCGGTGGTGTTTTTTTGTTTTTTTTAAGCGTACCTTTTCCATGTTGATTAGAACTCACAACTCGATTGCAACTTTGGGAGAAAACACTAAGTCTTCAAGTGACTCCCATTATTTCTTCTCAATTTCTGGTGAGCTCGCTAACCTAATTGCTTTGTATCCTAGTTCTTCAGTGCTATCCCTTTCCCTTCTTGTTTCGTCAAAAACGGTTTCAAGTCCATACTTACCAGGCTCACTGAATAAGCCGAATATGCTTCTTGTTTACCTCCCTTGGGTAACAACCCCCTTTTGGTCAGAAATGCCCGAAAAACGAACCCGGTTCTGGAAGACATGTCCAGCCTGTCCCTGCGGATGGACAACAAACCGGGCAAAATCCACGATCGGCACCACTCAGGATATGGAAGCCCCACCAACGCGCGAAACTCATGGGTTTCCCATTGAAACCCATCCTGAGAACCCTACTAATGTCAGGTACGTAGGTAAAGCATGACGAACAACTCGTGTAACTAGGCCATAAACGTGGTTATAAGTGGACGATCAGCCCAGTTACACCAGTTATCACCATGGTTACAACCTACGTACCAGCGTACCTGACGTTGGGGTTATTATTTTGATTGTTGCTAGGGGTTGTCAAAGTCAGAAAATGGAATCGGTTGTTTCCCTTTAACCCATCACTTTTTTAGGTGACTTTGATCATGGTAAAGTAATGAGTGACTTTGCCAGTGACTTGGGTGGAACATCCGAGTAGGGTATTCTTCACCCTTCAGGCCAGGGCCTTCTTCACCACCACCAGCGGGGACACCATGAGGAACCACTTCGCGGACGCCTCGGCGCAGATGGCCAGGCGCAACCGGTTCTTGAGCGACCGTTTGACATGGGTGAACCAAAACACCCGTTTTTGAGACCCGTGAATGTAGGCTCGAATCAAAGATCGCGGCCTCTAGTTTTTATATGGCAGTGCTCGACTTTCAACCTGGGTTTTCCATTTCAGGACCCATAGTCGAGGTCCAACGTGATGAGCTTTTTTTTGCGGGTGGTTTGGAGTCTTGCCTCATGCGTTGCCGTATCTTGGGCGGTGCATGCCAAGGGTTGCTTCCAAACCTGCTGGCCAGCCTGAACTGAGGCGCAAAACATAGACGCTGCCAAATTCATGACGTCACAGGCTTTCTGGCCGGCTGGTTGTGTCCGCTGCTTGCAAGCAAGCGCGCGCGAGCCTCGACCACGTTGCAAGCTCATGCAGCACCACTTTGAGTCATATTGGCATGAAGCAAGGCGAGCGAGAAAACGTGCACCGTAGCTTGCGCAAAGCTTCAATTTCAACCTTCGAACACGTGTCATAGGTGTCCTTTTTGGTTGTTGTGCTCGAAAAATAGATGGGTTTCGATTCCCTGGCTTACCTGGTGGTTAACTCATCTACCAGGGCCATCCTTTTTTGCCCGAAAAGGACACCTATGACACGTGTTGTATAGGGGAAGCCAAGCGAAACAGGGGCGACAATCAGAGTCCCAAACGCCACGGTGTGAGACCTCATGAGGAAGACTGAGCCCCTAACCATGGTTCTTGTTGAGAAACTTGTTTGTTTTTTGTTTTTTTACATTTTGCTCATGTTGGTTTAGTGGTTGAAATCCCACCACTTTTCTGCTAAAAAATGTTTTTTGTTGCTCCCCTTCCAACGTCAACCAAGTAATTCTTGCGAAGCGTCTTTTGGGGGGCATAGGGTTCAGCAATCACCATCTCTCCGGTGGCATTTCCCTGGTTATTGCGGCGTTTGCGATGCAGACCCAGCAAGCAACAAGGTGGCAAGGCAAGAGGGCAAGGACTTTGTTCTTTTCAGAAGCCCCTGGCAGGCCTGAGCTATAAGTCTTCCTATTTTATGGCGAGCTGTGGGTTTCGGGATCCAATTCATATTTCAGGTTTTGAATTTATTGCAACATGTGTACAAAAATCACGGACGTCACGGAAGCTGATAGGAGGATGGAAAACTGCTGTCCTTTTGAAACCCTCGCCCACACTGGTTTTGGAATTGCAACATTTGCAGATAGGTGAACCCGGGGCCTCCGTTTCCCGATTCGCAGGAGCAGTTCCTTCAGCAGCATCTTGCAGCCCCCGAGCAGGTACCATCCCTCGGCCTGAGCCGTAGAACCAACTACTGAATCAAGGTCTTTGGGGTCTTTGGAGCCCTTTCAGCTCCACCATTGAACCTGGCTGGAAGGCTTGTTAGGTCCAACATCCATCAGGAGGCCAGTCCAGTCTCACCAATCGCTGGGCCAATGGGTTTGGGTCAAATCGGTCATGCAAAAGCAGGTGTGGAGGCTTGTTTGCCGATGACACGGGGTCAGCTTCCAGGATTCGGAAATTTGGAAAGGCCTCTAAGCGTCCTCCGACTTCTTATTGCACACACACAATGCATGAGATGGAACACCAACGTTACAGCTTATGGCTTTGCCCTTTCCCAACTGATGGTGGCAGAAGAGGTGTTAGTTCTAGGTCTGCAAATGTTGACCAAGGTGACAGAAGGGCGCAACCTCCCGGGATTCTACATTTGGAGGAGACAATCAGCTTGTTGCAATCAGAAGTGCATTGCCTACAACACTAGTATGCTTGCTGCCGCTTTCTGCCCGGCTGTTGGGTCAGGTTTCACCAAACAACCGCTCGCAAGCACAGGGCTAGAGGAACCATCATGCAAAACCTACATAAGAAAAAGACAAACTGGTTCCCCACGTTGACGGTAAATCGAATTGCAGGTCTTTTTTGTCCTAATGGTCCATGTAAGGCGATGAGGACTTTCCAGACCAACTTTTGGGGGGGTACTCCTGTGAATCTGCGGGGGACTCCTACCTCAGGGTCGAAGCCAGCCACCCAGAGCCACCCTTTGCTTTTTGTTTTTATTGGGGGGGAGGGTTTTCCGTTAACCTCAAACATGGTTCGCCTTTTTTTTCCATGGAAATCCACTGTCACAGCGCCGGGAGAAAGTGAGAGTCTGAGACTACCTCCCGAGGTTGGGGGCATGCAGCGGTCCATGTGTACCTACAACTCCACCTTTCAGCAGAAGTCTTTGGATGCCTATGGTGCCGGCCTTACAGATTCGCATGCTTCGTTTGTGTCGGTGTTTTCCGGGGTTGCCCTTTTCTCGGGAAACTCAAAGGAAGGCTCCGTAGTTTTCTGAGACTACCCTGCTTTCCTTTAGAGGGGTACCAGAAGAACGCCACCAGTTTTAGGGGTCCGCAGCAAAAAACGACGCCTGATTTTCCCGATGTGGGTATCTTTCAAAACAGGCATTGGGCCATCTTTCGCAATTGATGCGCGTGGGACGGAAGATTTTAGAGCAACGAGGCCATACGAGAACGGTCTGGCCTGACCAGGCCCTGTGCTGTTTGTGGAACTTGCTTGTGTTGTCATTTGTCTCAAAGTATGAGACCCCATGCTCGAAGCCAGCCAGCAGGAGGCTCAAATGAGTGGCGAAAAAAACCTCCGTAGATCAATTTAGATGAAACTGGAAATTACTCTTGCAGTCGCAAGCGTTTTTGCGTGATTCGTAAGCGATCGGAAGGTCCTGCGTAAGCTGCATGCATGAGTCACTCGTCGTAAGCTTTGCGTAAGCTCTGTTTGTCAGATCCGTTTTTCGTTCAGACTGTTTGGTAGAAGTTGCTTTTGGTCCGCGTAATGCTTTTAGGCGTGAAAATGGGATCAGATTGCTGGAATGGGTTCTTTCGAGCAACAAGGAAAGGGATTCTTTCAGTGAACAACTTTTTCTGGCTCAGACAATTGCTGTTTGACCGCTGGGTTACTTGTGCAAACCTTTTGCAATGTTCCACGCACAGCGCGTTGGCCAGCTTGAACAAAAAAGCTCGCGTTTGGAAAACAACTTTTCGAGCCCCGAAAGTTTTGTTTTGGCACCTCACCTTGTTCGTTGCGCGGGCTTGAAAAAGAACATGTTGAGCCCCGCTTGTTTTGCTGCGGATTTGCCTTTTCACCTTTGGGCCTTGGGCTTGGTTGTTGCGAGGCACCTTTTGCCACCTGCAGGCACTTTTCAGGGCCCCGAAGCCAAAAAAAGCTCGCGGGCTGGAACAAAAACTTAGAAAACAACTTTTCGGGCCCCCAAAAGTTTTCCCCCTCTATGTCACTGCTGAGCCTGTGCAGCAAAGCCTTTGCGCCTTTCAGAGGACCCGCGCGCTTTCTGCAGAAATAAAACTTTTCGGGCCTGAGCAGCATTCCATGCTGCAAGCTGTTGTTCTGCCGTGCTGGCACCTCTTGCTCGCAGCGCCCGTGCGCTGTCTGCAAAGTTTTCTTGAGCTGTTGCCCCTCTCTGGCCGTGGAAGCTTTAACACCGGCTTCGGGCAGCAACATCAGGATCACATGGTGTAGTGGTATCACACCCGCTCCGCATGCGGCAGGCCCGGGTTCAATCCCTAGTGTGCCCACGTCAATGCTGAGCTTGCGCGGTAAAGCCTTTGCACCTTTCCGTGCAAGCTGTTGCTCTGTCATGCTGGCGCCTCTTGCTCGTAGTGGATCCTCGCAGAAAACAACTTTTGGGGTCCCCAAAAGTTTTCCCCTCCACGTCACTGCTGAGCCTGTGCAGCAAAGCCTTTGCGCCTTTCCAGGCAAGTTGTTGCTCTGTCCTGCCGGCGCCTCTTGCTCGCAGAGGTTCCGCGCGCTTTCTGCAGAAAACAACTTTTCGTGCCCCGAAAGTTTGTTTTCAGCTTTTGGCCCTCCATTGTCTTGCTGGGCCTGCGCAGCAGCCTTTCCATCTGCAAGATGTTGCTTTGTCATGCTAGCGCCTGTTGCTCATCGAGGATCAGGCACGAGCAACTTGTCGTAAGCTATGCGTAAGCTCCATCTTCGAAAAATAGCAACCGTAAGCGACCTTTCGGTTGGCGGAAGCTTCGCAAGCGGAAGCTTTCCGCAAGCGATTGCGAAAGCTGAAGTAATTTCCTTTACGGGTAACAGGGTTTTTTTTCACTGCTCAAATGGGTTCGTCTCAATAAATAGGGGATCCACCAAAACGTGTTTTCTTCTTTGGCTTTCCTTTCATATAATGCTTGCCCAAAGTCATGAAGCAATAAAGCAACAGGACAAATCGCGATTTTTCAAGCAACCCTTGCTTTTGACTCATCCCCTTTTGTGCCCTTTGGTTTCCTTTCGTATCCCTCAAAGACACCAGCCGTCCTGTGCATGTCTCAGGTCCCACCAACGAGCTACGGGAGCTGTACAAGCAGCAATCCCGGGGTTCCGGCGCGCGCCCCAAAATCGGCGGTGCGGGTTGGCCCGCTGGACGGCCAGAGGCTCGCTCCTGCTTGTCATTTTTGCTTTGGACGGGGTGGGTGGGACCATTTTGTTGACCACCCGCCCACTGGAAATAGGTTGTTGTTGTTTTTTTTCTCCCATGCTCGCGGAGGGTTTGGAGTTCGTTGGTGTTTGGTGTTGCCTTTGGGATTTTCCTTTGTTCTTTTTCGGACCAGGGCCACTGGAGGTTTGGGAAAGCTCACACGCTGCTTTGAATCATTGAATGTTCAAAGCCAAGTTTGGCAATTGCATCGTTGCCTACTCAAACAATGGTGCTGAAAAAAACCTGTAAAAACAGAACCCTGGGTTTCGGGTTGAGTGTTGTCGAATTGAGGAGGATGTCTTCTCTTGGATATCCCTCTCGGGTTCACAGCCATAAGACCAAGACCCTTTGACATGATGTGAACAGGAGGCAATCTACAGGTAGCCGTTTGACGATGCCTTGAGAGCAAAGAACCGAGCCTCAAAAAAAGGCACGCCCAGTGTCCTCTACGCAGAGGAGCTTGGCCCAAACCTGGATCTGAGCTTGTCGCACTCCCCCCCAAAGCGGTTGTTCTTCCTGGTCTTCCGTTTAATCACGCTGAAAAGGGTACCCTTAAACAACACGGACCCATGTCCTCAATCCTGGCTTCCCCAAAGTGGTGGCGGATTCCGCTTGGAGGCATTTGCCGAAAAGAACTAGCTTGGTACGTTAATACCCCACCTGCGGGTTTCCCTTGAACAGTGCCCTCCCAATACAACTCGAATAGTACCTGGCCCCTTTCCACAGGAAGTCCCTCATTTGGGGTTGGTGATTTCGTGATCTGTTGGCCATACATGGGCAATCCATCTGGAGGGGTGCCTACTCATATTACAAATAGAGATGACCTTTTGGCTCACTCTCTCCATTTTTTGTGTGGACTAAGTGGCTTATGTTACTTGGCAACGACCCCACTTGGTCCGAGAGTCTTCGTGCAAGCCTTTGGATTTCCATCTATTTGGGCGTGTCAAATTTGAGTTGGTAATTACTCTTTTTGTTTGGTTTCGAAGGAGCACCGAAAGGAAACCCACCCATTGGTCGGGGTTTTCTGGAAAGAAGAAGCTCAGCCATTTCGCGGCCCCGGATGGTCATGTTTGTCCGTCTCTCTTTGGGAAAGCGAGGCTCCAATGCTCCGAAGCCGCCCTTGAGCTCGGCAAAGCCCTCAGGTTCGTTTGGCGAAGGACCGGCTTCTGGGTTTCTAAACGAAATGGGTGGTGTTTTTTGTGTTTTTGTTTTCCTTCCCTTGAACCTCAAGGCTATCCAAAAGCGACCAGTTGACCAGTTTCAGGGGCTTGGAAGGGAGCCGTTACATGTCTAAAAGTACCTGGAGTCTCCCTCTGACCCTTGAAACATGGTTGGTCATTACCCAAAACAAAGGGGTCATGACCCCACTTTTAAAGGGTCAGAAGGAGACTCCAGGCATTCAATTTTGCTTTAAAGAGGGGAGCTCAGGAGGCACCAGTTCTGTAAGGGCATGGTAGTTGAACCCAAAATCCCTGAACAACAGCCCAGCGACCCGACCATCTTCCGGGGCTCCTTTTTTGTTCTTCCCTTTTTTTCTCCAGTTAAGACTCCTTTGTATTGGGAGTTTTCTCGTGCCGGGGTGATGGTGAAAAGGGAAGTATACGGAATTCAGATGTTGTTCCTTTTTTCTCGGTCAGCCTTGTTGGTTTATTTTTAGTTGAGGCTTCAAAGAGTTAGCATCTCTGTTGGGCGGCGAGTTTGCCGTGCATGTCAGGCTCGGTCAAAGTAAACCGTTGACAATTTTGATCAAACATCCACTTGCAACGTTTTCCAGGATGAATCACCCCTTCCCCCCTGCACCAGAAAGGTCAAGGAAGTCATTTGCCAACATGGGCACCGTTTAGTATTGGTTTGGTACTTCTGAATACTACATTAGTATTGTGTGGGCCCTGCAGCCGTTGCTTCGCTCGAGTTGCGTTGATGAGGTGACGACAACCAAGTCGTCCTATCCTGCATATGCCAGACGCTTGGGTGGGTGGTGGGGTCGGGTGGAAATGTTACATTAACCCTCAATCACCTCAATCACAAAGCGGACCCCGGCTTGTTCCTAAAGGAAGCACCGGAGTTGTGGGCTCTGCTTTGACGACAGACCCGGAACCCTATGAAGCTTCTTTTTGTAGGGAGCCCTTAGGGGTCGGAGCAAGGCTACAGTTCGCCCGGATAGGTGAGACTTGTTCTAGGCTTGGTAACCCCCCGGAAAAAAGGAAAGCCTCACTGGGTGAGGTCGCTCCGAGTCAATCAGATTCTGCTATAAAAGGAATCCAAGATCAAGTGACAAGGCATAGTCTCACTTCCTGAGTTCATGAACTTTAAACTTTTTGGGAAGACCATGTTGGTGGTAAATATAAAGTTCGGACTTTTTTTGGGCCATCCACTCAGCCAGTGAGTAGCGCAGGCTGCAAGTTCCGAGTCTTTGAAGGATAGCTGCAGATAGCACCCATCACACATCATTCCAGTTCAGCGAAGCGCATCCTCGAATTCTGCTTGGCGGGAACCCCGCAATGGGTGTGCCGCCTTTTAGGGGACTCCCCGAAATGGCGGCTTTCCTTTTGGTGTCCTTTAAAAACGACCAAACAGTTGGGACCTTGAGAAAAGGACACACCCCGGAACTATCTAGATATACATCCGGCGAGGGAGGCTTAGAGCGGGCCCATGTATTTCCCGTTTGCTATCCATGCGTGCCCCAGGGCGGAAAGAACTTTGGGGTTTTCTCATCTGTCAGCCACTTCCTAAGAAGTTGCACCCAGCTAGGGCGCTCAGGGCGTGCGAAGGGACTCCCCCTCCGCGAGGTGGAGGAAGCGGCCGCCGGCGCAGTGGCCGAGATTCAGCGCCCGGCGCAGGCGACACGAAGAAGTCGGAGCAAGCGTCGCTCAAGAGCCACGTAGCTCAAAACCCGTGCTTTCCAAAATTCCTTGGGGATGCTTTTTGGTTTTATTCACCGGTCTGGCATCTTTTTGGCATTTTGGGGGTTGTCATAGTAGATGAAACATTGGCAAACTTTGCCAAGGGATGTTAGGACTTCAACTTTTTTTGTTGCCAACGAATTTGGGTTTCCATATCAAAAACCACGAAAAGCTAAACTTTAGAGCCTCCGGCTCGGTCCGCCGACATTGTCCTGTCCCTTTTCTCCTTCTTCCTCTCTCCCTTGTCTCCCTCGTGTGTTCTGTCGTCCTCTGTCCCTCCCTTTGCTCCCCATCCTCCCCATTCCCCCCAAGCCTCTCTCTCCTGAGTCTCCCTCTCTTTGTCTCTCTCTGTCTCTCTCTATCTCTCTCTCTCTCTCTCTCTCTGTCCGTCTCTCTCTATCTCTCTCTCTCTCTGTCCGTCTCTCTCGCTCTCTCTCTCTCTCTCTCTCTCTCTCTGGCTGTCTCTGTTTCTCTGTCTCTTTCTGTCTGCCTGTCTCCTTCCTGTCCACGCCCCTCTACAGAAAAAGGGTACCCCAATTCTTCCCTCTCTACTGGAGGACCTAGTCTCTCTCTCTCTCTCTCTGTCTTTCTGTGTCTCTCTTTCTCTGTCTCTCTTTTTTTGTTTTCTCTCTCTCTCTCTCTCTGTCTGTCTCTTTCTCTGTCTCTCCCTGTCTCTCTCTCTGTCTCTCTCTGCATTGCAGCGTCACGTCCCGCCTGAGTTGCCTCGATATCCCGGCACGGCCCCTTCATGCCCTGAACTGTCATCTCACTACTGGCTTTCCCCTTGATTTCCCCTTCATGTCCTTTTCACGTTTCCAGTGATGTCCTGGTCATGTCCCTTCCATTCCTTTCAACTCCCCCTTCATGTCCCTGACATTTTCTCGGTATGTCCGTGTCATTTTCCATGTATGTCCCGTTCTTTTGTTGCGAGTCATTTCCCTACATCTCCCGTCGTGCCGATTGGTGTCATTGCGCTTTGTTTCCCTGTCATTCCCCCTGCACTCCCCTCGTTTTCATTTCTGTCCCTGTCATTTCCCTTTCAGTTCCCCTTTGTCTCCCTTTCATTTCCTGTTGCTTTCCTGACATGTGGACTTCCTATTTCCTCCCCTCATTGCCTTGCACTTCCTTGCATTCCCCTTTGCAAAAAACATTGTTTTTCCAGCGTTTTCGCAAAGGTCCAAAAACACAGAGTTTTTCAATATTTTTCCTTGCACTTCCTTGCATTTCCCCTTGGCTTCCCAGTATTTCCTAGGTGTCCGACACGCCGTCCCAACCAAAATAGCTGCGGAATTCCGGCTTCTTAATTCTTGACATGGTTCTGGGTAGACCATGTCAATACCGGGTTTTAATTGTGACTCGCTTACCCTCCCACCAATGAACTACCAGGGACTCAACCATCGCCCCAAGATTACCCGAACATAAAAGTGCTTAAGAAGCCTGATGAGGCGCAGCTAAGGCCAAATGAGGAGAGCCCACCTTCTTGGCCGTTTCAATCGGAGGGTGGTTTTGGCAGCTAGTTGTGTTTGAGGTTACTGATCAGGGTATCAGCAATAGCGGCGTTGCCTGGTCGCTCAGCCCTTGAAGTTCCGTGGAGTGGACTCAAGAGCTTTTCTTCCCCCATCCCCCCCCCCCCACCCCCCCGGTTTTTTTGAGAAAATACGGCATCCCACGAACTATGACCTGACCTGGGGGCCTCCAGGAGTCTCACTCCCCGACTTCCTTGTGCTGAGTTTGGCCCAGCCACTCAAACCTAAAATTGGCGACTCCTTTAACGCTCATGGGAGCTCCACCCCGGATTCCGCTCGAATTTTCCAGGTCTTCCCAGACCATTCTTCCCACACCTCGTCGACTTGTCGATCTATTCCTGTGTTCAAGCCAATTTTCCCACCATCTAAGTCGATTCGGTTGGATTTCTTGGGCCGTCCGGTCACCAGAAATTCCGCCGTCCAGGCCGTGCACGTGGACCCCTCGGCCAAGTTCCTGGAGAGGAGCTCAGTGCTGCACCGGGACTTCCGGCGCTTCGACGCGCGCCAGATGCGCCCTAGACGCACCAAGAGATGCACCCAAAAAAACAGCGGGCGGCAAGGGGAAGCGCCCAAAAACGGCGGCGGAGGTTTTTGTGTGTTGGGTGTCTACCCGGCCTCAGTTGTTGTTGTTGTTGGGCTTCTACCCAATTTGGGGTTTGAAGAGGTAAGGTTTGGACTGATCAATAGATTCTTGACAGTCTTCCACTTCGTTAGATGTGTCTTGTTGACTTTAAATGGACATGGACATGGAAATGACGTCTTGAAACAGGGCACCCAGCAAACCGGCAATGCTTAAGCCACCGAAGACGAACCAAGCAGTTATTTTTGAGTTTCAGCACCAAAAGAGCCCCAAATGATTCGTTTCCCAAAGAGGAGATGGGAGAATTGGTTGCCTCCCTTTTTCTCACTTACTCATGATATATGGGCCACATGGGTGTGTGTTTTTGAAGGTACCCTTTGAAAGTCTAGATTAAACGGAAAACCCAAAGGAAAACCACCCACACGTACCCGTATGTCCCACATTTTCGTGTCTGGATTATCCGGTGGCCCACACTTTCAACCTTTGCCAATTTCTTGCAACTACATCCCTGTGATGAAGGTGCCACTAAATAATCACATATCTACCAAACACTCCATTTGGGTTGCTCAAGTTTTGCGCCCTGCGTTGTTTCTTGCGCAATCAGCAAGCCCCTGTTAGCTTGATTGAGAGTGATTTTCTTGCGATGCTCCGCTGAAGTCCCTCAATCAAAGATTTCCCTTTCGCGGTAGAACAAACCCAAAAGGGTGCCCACAAAAAGACAGCGATATGGATCTGCCTGAAACTAAGGCACCCCTTTGGATGATTTTAAAAGGCTAACCAAAGGAAACCAGCAATTTTGAGGAGTGCAAACAATTCTGAGAAGGGTAACACCAGGGGGCAACTTGTTCACTTACCCCGCACCACTGCGAGGACTAAACCTGGCTTGTAAAGTACCCCAACCCCCATTCCAATCAGATTGGACTTAGGCCCTTCATATGTCCATCAATGTACTTCCACTCGCTTGATCTTGATTGGTTTACACCCCTATATACAATGCATACCCTTCAAGGGACCCTGAAGTCCATTGAGGACCCAGTCGAATCGCACCTGGTCTTTGGGAGAAAACTGATGACAGGTGCAGTGGATTCTCTACATATTGCCAGCAAATTAGCCGCATCCCACCACAAAGCCTTGGTAAATTGCGGTAAATTCGAGGTTCCCCTTGGTCCCGATTGCAATATTGAGGGCATCCACCTACTCCGCTCTTGTGCGAACCTGTGCCAACAAAAACCATCGGTCCTGGCACGGAGGCAGCGGTGTCACCCCGAGCCCGCGGCGCCGCCCCATGATGCCAAGATGCCGGGGCGCCAACCACGCAGCCAATCAACCAACCGCGCCCTCGTTTCCGTTGGTAAGTTTAGGCTAATGATGAAAATCATCCGAGAAGATCCACATCAACCAACTGACAGGGATTGTTTAAGGAAGCCAATGCACCTCAAAAAGCAATTCAGCAGATACGACGGGTTCTTCGTTGCCACGCAAGTCAACTGAATATATAGGAATCTGAGAGTTTCGGGCAGACTCAAACAGACACCGTTCAAAAAGTGCGCCGCATGGAAGCTCAAGGCTTGAGGGAACGACTTTGCCCTGCTGCACAATATCAATTCGTATGCTTGTCTTTGGTGAAATGCACCGCCACTAGCGAGCGGCGCGAAGTCGATTTTCTGGGCTGGGAAACACCATCTCGTCGACTTGGATGAAAACTTAAATCCAGATGTATCCGGAAAGCACCGCAAGGAATAGTTTTAACGCTGAATCTTGCATGACCCTCATGTTGCCATAATTGACGAGGATCGGAAGATCTTACTCTGGGTGAATAGCTGAATAGCCGTGATGTTGCCTTGTGGTGCCTTTATTCATCCAGAATTGCTATTAGTCCTCCCACTCCTGCACACAGGCCCCCACGAAACCTCGGCCATGTGTCTTTCAAGGAGTTTGTTGTGCATTGTTGTGCCATTTTAGGCTCAGCTTGCACGAACTTCGGGCAAGCAGGATAAGTCAAGGTAGTCTAGCCCTGGGGAGGGAAAAACGGGAGGACGGACCTCGAATTTCAGCTACCAAACCGCGGGTTGAACAAGGGTCCTGAGTTTGGTTGGCGCTCATAGTATGGCCAAGTGAAGATCCTTTTGTGACCAGGTTTTCCATGGTATCAGCAAACTTCTCGTTTGCGTTCACATGATTCCCGCAAATGAGGGAGTATTTGGAGTGGCATGTTTTTCGCTATGTTGTGGGCAAACTCCACCGGTTGTTCGGCAAATCACCCCAGAAATCACGGGGGTTTCGCGAAAAAAATCCAGCTGGCGGGGAGACTCACCCGCATCCATTTTGAGGGCGCCGCCGCTGTGCCCGGACCGGGACTCGCGGTTCCAAGGCAAGCCCGGAGGTTTGGGGTCCTGCGTGAAGTGGCGCGAATTAATTCGAGGTCCCCCAGTGCCCTTTGACCGTTTCTTTAGTAGCAGGAGGGTTCCGCTACTAACATAACCTCTCTACTGGAGGACCTATTAGTTTTCCCGTTTTTGTTTGTTGTCTTCCGGGCCGCTAAAAGTCATCAACCCCTCAAACTGGTTCCCGTTTTCTAGATGATGGCTTCGGAACCCATACAAACAACAAGCAGTCGACCGTCAACGCCAAAAAGGGGCCCCCGATTCCTTTTCTACCGTCACAGCACAACTGGGGCTGTGGATGGACGAAACTCGGCAGTTGCTAGGTGGTCATCCAGCTACTCATAGAGTCTAAAAGCAAACAAACAGGAAGATCGCCATGGAGACAAACCCACAAGGCATTCTGCCGCCGCTTTGTGCGTGTGAGCGACGACAATGCCTACCATTCTGCGTGTTCAATGCTAAGGGAGAACATGATGCAGGCTGCTTGGAGCCCAGATTTGGAACGCACCGCGTTCCCAAGAGCTTCACCTTTGGCCATTCACAGACGATGAATTTGAACCCAGTGTTGATACTTCATCTACACTCCCAAAAGCGGGCTTGGAAGTTAGCTGGTCTCTGGCGGACCAGGCTCGTGAAACGAGTCCTCCTTTACGTTCTATAGCAATCTGCTTGGAAGGGTCTGTTTTGCCCAAGGTCCTGTCCAGTTCACTCGCTCACTCACTCCGCTCTCGCCAGGCATTACGCAGTACCGCCGCGACTATGGGCACTGAGCAGTTGGATTGAGCGAGAAGTTAGTTGCTCTTTAGCCGAAATACCTCTCCACCCTGCAGATGAACATGCAGCCCTCAAGGCAGGCATGCAAAAAAGGCATCGTTTTTAGAGGAACTGGTAAATGAAATGGGTGTGTTTTCCTGTTGGTTTCCACTAAACCCTCAAAACAGACACACCCACGTATTTGCCAAGGGAGGAGCCGTTTCTCCAGGAGTGGCTCTTGGTTTTGTTTCAGCTGTCCCATGTTCGATGGAGTCATGGTCACGTCGAGTGGGGCAGAGTGGCATGCCCCTCTAGGCCTTGGGCGAATGTAAAAGGGCAACGACTTGTTACTTCCCAGATGAACATGGGTTGCATTTGCGCGCATGAGGAATCTTTTTGGGTTTCTGGACCCCCCTCCGGGTTGCATGTTGATTTGTCGAGGAGAAGAAAGCAAATTCAGGGGGTCGGTTGGATCAACAAGGAAGAGCACTTATTTGCAGGCACGCATGAAACCCCTTGAGAATTCGGCGACCTTGTGTTAAGGGCTGATTGGACACTATGAATTGTGGCATTCATGGTTGATTAACCAATGCACTAGCGGTTCATACCAGGGGTTGCTATATTTGGTCATACATTCAGCCTTTAATTGTACATCTACAATCGCCCGCTGTGGCATAAGCACATGCCGCAGCTGTGGTAGCATGCGAAGCATGCTGCCACATCGTTGCAAGCCAACTAAGCTTTCTATTAAAAGAAGCGTGCGTGTCGTGGGGGGAGTGCGTTGTTTCGGAAGGTTAGGGGGGGGATCCATCAGCTACCGGCGGCACGGAGTTTTCTATTTTCTGCTTCCGACAATTGTGACTTGGGGTAAAACGAGCTGCCCCAAGCAGCAGGAACCAGAGAACGCAGGGATGAGGAAGGCATTTAGAACAGCCTGCAATACTTGGGGATAGTCCAACAATCTGCCCCTCTCTTCCTTTCTTACCATGGCGACCTGGGGGTAGTACAAGCCTATCCTTGATTCAGAATCCTTCCATGATTGTTTCTTAGTTCAATTGTCAAATATGACGTGCTTGTAGCATGATTAGTTGTGGGCTCCACTTGATCGCCCTCCAATGGGTGCCAACAATGAGAGAACTTCGGACGAGTGTCTGAACAAGTATTTGCGTTCTCATGTTCAGTCAAGTCACCTGGAATCTTCGAAACCTGATGCCTGCTCGTGAAGTTAGGCGGATGTCATCCGTGGCTCAAGCGTAAGGTCACATGTGAACAGGTCTCAGAAACACGCATGGTGCAGCTGATAAGAGAAGCGTTTCCTCCACGCTGGTTGAACAAAACCGATTCTTTTGTTTCTTCTTGTTTTCCCCAAGTTTAGGCGCCCATTGACACTTGCGCAAGTCCGAACTGTGGGAGGATGACCTTTCATTTCCCTTTGAGGAAACTAAGTGAATACTTATCCGAATCGTCCAGAGCCCCGTAGCACGCTTGTTGCACGTCCATAGACTGAAGGAAGGCCTTTGATGGTTAGCCCTTTCGTTGGGTCTTGCAAAGGCTTCCTTTTGGTTTCCCTTTAAAACAGACCAAAAAAAACAGGGGGTACCCTCAAACAAGACAGACTCATATTCAACAATTCGCTGTGAGAAGTGGCAGCTTCACTCCATATCTCATCCCTCAACATGAGCCTCTGATGGCCGACTCCAGGACTTTCGGATGCGAACACCATCCATGTGTTGTTCAGCTTTGTGTCAAAATAAGCTGACCCCAAATTGTGGTTTCCTTTTGAACCAACCCCAAAAAGGGTACCCTGAAGAATCACACCCATTTGCTTAGGCTGAGGTTCCTGAAATCCAATTGTTCTGCCATAGGCTGCGTTCCCAACATGTCAATGTTGAAGGGAAATCCAGATGGCAACGTCCGGTAGTGACTCAAGCATGGATCCGCAGTCCTTTGGTTGAGACGGCATGTGGAACCTCGTTTTGCGTGTGGCCCCTTTCAACGAGCTGGTGGAAGTGATGTTTTTTCTATGTTCCTCTTTTGATGTTTGAACAGTTTCGGTCTCAACTCATGTTAGCTGACTTCAGGGTGATGTTTGCCTGGGACACTTGTGGAACCCAGACCTTCTTTTTTCTAGCGGGACTGACGAGCTATTAATTGTTCAATTGCGGCGACCTCACGCCATGCAAGGTTCCTTACCTGACCTGGGGATTCCTTTTTCCAGGTGTGTGCAGTCATCTGCCCAGATGAATCAATCCTCGTAGAAGCCGGCTTGTCAAAAGCTGACAGTGCCTTCCCACTTGAAACATAAGCAGAGCCGCTTGCAGGGAAGGTGTGAACCTCTCTAGTCACGAAAGCTAGCTTTAGCTAGCTGAAGTTTCTCCTTGCGTAAGCAAGGTAAGGGGCTCAAATGCCGAAAGATTGATTTTTTCAATTATTTGAGCCGAAAAGATTGAAAAATATCAATTATTTAGACCCCCCCCCCCCCCTCCCCCAAAAAATAGAAGAAGTAGGGGGCCTGGGGGGAAGTCTGTTGAGGGTTGCCTGTTATGGTTTTTATGTTCATCTCAAATCTGTGTTCCCCCTTATTCGTTTTTAAAAGAGGGTTTTTAGGGAGCTTATTTATCGTTTTCGTTAAGGTAATCATTTTGGTAATTGTCCCCCTTGTTCATTGTTGGGCTGGGGGCAAACATTTTTTTCATTTGAAAGAGTTGACCCTTTTAGTAGTTATCAAGTTCTGGGGCGTTGGGTGGTTGTTCTGCTTGATAGGGTCTTGTAAGACACTTTGCTTTGCATCAGTTGTTCAAATGCGAGACACTTGCAGTGATTTGCTCAATTCGCATAGTCATCGGTTCTCATTCCTTCTTTGTATCAATGGCACCGAAGAAGGTTTCAACACCTGCTTCCAGTCAAGCGGGCTACCCTGATGAGACGGCGTCAGATGAAGCGATTGCCTCTCTTCTTCAAGAGATGTATTCGCTCACTCTCGCTGACATCCCTTCCAGTTCCAACGAGAGTTTGGAGTCAGCCATGCTTGACCTAAACAAGAAACTGGATGAAATGCAGAAGGCCAAGGAGTTGCTTCAGGGCGAGACCAACAAGCGTGCCAAGGCCGTGAAGGATGCCGAAACCGCTGAACGCAACCGCATCAAGAATGAGACAATCAAACAAGCGAATGCGGAGAAGTATGAGGGAAAGATTGAAGTGCTGGTCATCTTCCCCAACGGTGGCTTCATGAGGGTGCGTGTGGATAAGGGGGCATCGGTCGGGAAGTTGCGGAAACGTGTGATTCGCCGTTCAAAGGACATCTACCACTTCAACCTCGGGAGTGGCAAAACCAAGAAGAAGCTGGACACAGTGTCCATCATTACGCCTGACAACAAGCACATCTCCGCTCATCCCAGAACCATCCTTTGCAACAGCTCCACACTCATGACCCATCAGTTGGTGTTTGCAACTTGGACGGAGAACTACATCCCAACCGAGTTTGAGTTCCCTGAAATCCCAGAGGGTGCCACTTCGCCACCTCCTCAGCAAGAAGCGGAAGAGGACGATGATGACGATGAAAGTAGTGAGTGAAAGGCGTAGTCATCTTCATAGGACACTGCGTCAAGTTCCGCACTGTGATGATGTTTGACTTAAATGTTGGTTCCACACCAAAGACCTGTTTGTCTTATGCTCATCCGATGAAGAGAAAACACGTGTGAGATACTTGGCGCCATGACCATTGAACAGAACATGGTCAGACACACTTTGGCAAGGTGGGAACTGATTGAAATGCTTGCTTTGAGCAGTGCTGTCGATTGTAGAAGTTGTTCAGCTTGTCCTTGTCAGCGCTTAGGTCGCTCATGTTGCCCTGACAGGCTTGAACATGATTGTCTATTCGCTCTCAAGGATTGAAAGTCTCACTCATTACACAAGCCATTGTAGTCCGTTGAGATGCCGTTATTCTACATGAAGGTTGGAGAAGTGGTGAAGTGCTTCATCGGCAAGAACGGTTCTCTCATTGAGACCTATACCGATGAGCCTACCTTGCAAGACCTGATGGCGCTGTCAAAGAATGAGTTGAAGACCATCCTAGACCATGCAACCCTGAAGGTCTCCAACTTCAACAAGTGTGAAAAAGAGCGACTGTGTGAGTTGCTTCTCAACAGTTGGGAGTTGCTGATGGAGAAAATCAACAAGAAGTATGAGCACGTGCCAACATTGCTTCGGTTGGCTCCTTCATCTTCGTCCGCATCTTCAGACAACACTGAGGATAATGCCATTGTCCCAACCGAGAGAGTTGTGAAGGTCAAAGTGGAGAAGGACACAGGCTTTGCTCCTTTGTGCTTTGAGGTCATCCCCAACAAGACCCTGATTTCCAACATCTACGAGTTGTATGAGGTGGAGACCAACACATCGTCAAGTCAGGTTCAGTTCATGTTCAACCAGAAACGTGCAGACAGTTACCGCCGTGTGGTTGAATACATGGAGACGCCCTTTGATGAGACGGTCTCCTTTCAGGTTCAACCACTTCTTCATGGTGGAGGTAAAAGGGCTTCATCAGGGACAACGAAAGGAAAGAACAAGGAAGAGAAGAAGGCAGACTTAGAAGAGAACATCAACAGCACGATTGCAAGGATTGAGGCTCAAAGTCCGTCTCCCTTCGTGATTGAAGTCATTGGGCTCTTCAAGGTTGTCCTCAAAAGCGTCAATGAAAACCCAGACACGGTCTTTCAGGAAGCCATCAAGGTCATGTCCGTACAACAGTTGAAGAGGGTCCAGTTGACGATGCACACGGGCAATGTGGATTTCAAAGTGGGCACCCTTTCCAAAGAGTTCTTCAACAAGGCTTTCGTCATTATTGAAAGCCAGAGACGACAGCAAGACCTACTCCAAAGAACAATGAGCGACTGTATGCACCTCATGCTTGTCGCTGAGTTGGGGTCTGAGGACGCAAGCATCAGCTGGGCTGGAATCACTAAGCTCTTGGTGAATGAGATTGAGGAGAAGTGCAAAAAAGAGGCCAACAACAACTGCAATGCCAACATGAGCGGTTAGTGCGAACTCACCTTGCACAAAGGGTAGTGTTGCAACCCTGCTGTTTCCATCAAAATGTCATGGCAACAGACCCCCTTGCACAGACTCCTCTGTTTCCAACTAATTTTGACTGAAAATAGGCTCCAACAGTAGGTGTTGCACAGACCCCTCTGTTTCAGGTTCGTGTTTTGACAAAACCGTTGTGGACACACTGAGTCATGCACACACCCTTCTGTGTGCTACATTTTGCTTTGGAAGGAGACATGTCTAACTGGTCTCTTCCATCAAAGACCAGCACCATTGCAGAAGGCGAAAAAAGCCACGATTTGAGCAGTGCTGGTTCTATATATAGATATTTTTTGGATGGTCTCCTTAAAGACAGTCGCCTCATACACTTCACCCTTGGAGTGGTGATACGGGTAGATGCAGTAAATGATGCTGGTGATTGCTCCTGTGTTTTTTTTTGTCGGTGGATTATACGGAGACCATCCTATATATTATACTTGTTTCTATGAAATACCTAACCCCCGTATCTGTAATTCGGTCTGGGTTGCTTGTTGTAGCACCCATCCTGTCCGGGTAGTGAGTGTGGTGGGAGCGATAGGGGGAAATCGCGAGGCATACCATCCACTCACTACCGAAAAGGGAGGGTTTGATACGGGGTTAGGTCTAAGTTTTTTGACAAGAGCTGACGCCTCCGCCGACCACCACAAGAACAACAACCCCAACCCCCACGTGTGAGTCCTGTTTGTCAGAAGGCACCTCCCTCGGCGACTACAAGGTATCGGGCGGGTGGGTCGGGTGTTTTGTCTTACAACCCTAAACCGTTGTGTAAGGATAAACTATCGACGATTTTTTGTTTCAATGTTTTAGACCAACCCCAATTTCAAGGGTGCTCTTCGCAAACCCTTAAATCCCAACAATCCCTAACCACCAAAATAAGGGCATAATCCCCCATTTTCAACTCCCCCAAAACCAACAAATACATAAACTTTAATGTTTTCAGTTTCAACCTCATCCCCAAACCCACATTTCCAGTTTCAAACCCAATCCCACACCCGACCAACCGAGCCTGTCCCTGAAAATAATTCTAATAACTTCATATTATTAGAACTATTTAGATAATTATTTTATGGAGTAATGTCGCGAAGCTCATTAGGCTATTACTTTGTAATAGCGTAATGTCGCAAAGCTCATTAGAGCATTTCATCCTGAAATGCTGTAATGTCCATAAGGCAATGAAGTGAAAGCATCAATATAAAACCTTTTATTTTCATAATTACTGAGAGATTGCTTTACTTGAGACATTGAATATATTTGATGCGACTTACTTCTGATGAAGTTATATGTGATTTCATGCTTTTTGTTTTGAAATAATGCTTCGTGGTAGTTCTGATACGACAGTTCTTTTTTCACTTTGTGTTTGACTACACCTTTTGATTTCTTATGTTCATCATCCTCACCATGAATTGTGAAGGCATAAGATTTAGGTTTCAATCCGATGAATTTAGTAATGATTTTTCCATTCACTTCGTCCTTAAACATTCCTAAGACCTTTTTATTAGTTTTGTCATGACATGGATGCTCAACAGGATAGTCGCTAAAATCCATGTGTTGCTTTATCTCATTGAAATCCTTATAGACATCATCAGTCATTGTTTGAATTACATAACTGTCAGTATCAG